CTGACCGAGAACAACACGGCATCTATATGGGGCTTGCTTGGCAAAACCTGCACACATATGGAATCCCGGAGTCACGATGCAACCGGAACTTACCGAAGGCAGGTTCTGAGTATGAACTCGACGTGCCATCATCCTTGTCGACGATACACTGCTCAGCTCTAACGCAGTGCTCCCATTTGTGGTCGGCTCCCATTTTCACATCGATGTCCAGTACGAGGTTGAAATTCTCATCTTGACGTTCAGTAAGGAACATAGGGATCCCCAAACGGTACAGCACCGGGATGTAGCGGCCATGAAATCCATTGCCACGGAGCCACAAGGGCAGTCCACTTGTAGAGTTGTTCAAGCTGAGTATGTTGGAATATAAATTTGTTCGTGGAACTGTACTATGCAGCAACACTGCCATTTTGGCAGTGGGTAGCATGCCTACTAAGCCTCACATGAGGTCTACCCCACTAGAAAAGAGCGGACTCACTTGTCCTCAGCTAGCTCGGCTTCTGTAAGGAAGGACGATAGTTCCAGGCTGGAACTTCCAGCACTTCTTCATCGACATTCGTCAGGATCTGAGTTGGACACAACATTGAGAACCCGCCGTCTGTACTTGCCTCCTGTCGCACTAAAGGCATGCATAGTAGCATCATCAATTCCTGACGTATACGGCTCCACCCGAGTATCTAATCACCTAGCGATTGGAGCCAAGCATGCAACATACGGGCCCATCTCTTTATATAACCACAGTTCATATTATTTCACTTCTACACTACTCATTTCTCTCAGGTCCACCCTTGCTGTAGTACAAGTGAATCAAGGGGAAAGCGATATGATAAAAGCTGTGTATAGTCACGCGCTCACGAGGTTCCTCTTCAGCGCTGTCCTCTTTAAGATTGCTTCTTAGCTGGAGTATAACATAATCCAAGGCGGAACTAGGCGAGGGCAGTGCCCGGTGCCCTCAGGGCACCGTTGTGGAAGTTGGGGTCGTAGAGGGGACGATGGAGGGTAATAGCTGTCGAAGCAATGCCAAGAAAGCTAGGCTAGCTTTCCTGATGGAGGCTTTCCTGAATGAGGTAGTTACTGCCTCATCTAGCCTTTTCTCAACGCCACAGTCGGTCTCAAGCGGTGCCAGAATCCGTGCCAGCCTCCGCTTCACTCAGACTCACATACCCCTCCACCCGAGACATTGTTTCAGTGAAAATTCCACTTCCATAGGAGCCCCCGACATTAACGCACTTCAACGCTAGGCAGAGGTGGGGCGTTCTAAGTGCTTGTCGCCATCATCACTATAATAATCACCACTACCACTATACCCAGATCTACCTCAGCCCATTGAAGGCTTAAGATATGGCGTAAACTCCCGATGCGGGAGATGGAAAAATAATAAATGATAATCACCAGCAGCACCACGTAATCGCGATTTCGTGGCGCGCGATGTCTACTTTGACGAGTCTTTGCGAAGACTCTCTGCGGGCTTCTCTTCCTTCGGTTTGCCGGGGAGGGCGGGGAAATCAGACTCGTCAAAAACGAAGTCCTTTTTGACAGCCTTCGCAACAGCACCACCTGAAACAAGCGGTGGCGCAGTGACGGTTTATGAAACTCCACCGTGTACAATTTATTCGCTATAGAATGTCTACGCCGAACAGATCGCCTGAGAGTCTCAGGCTGAGACATGCGTCTGTTCGCATTCTATTCCGTCGGGTTGCCATACCACCCCATCGAGAACTTCCACTCAAATGATAGCCGCAGATACACCAGCACCCTTCCTACCTCTCGACTTGGACGATGATGCACCCTCGCCACCCGCCGCTCCTCCTCCACCACCCCAGGCACTTCCTCGCGTTTTGTTCCTCAGTCGTGGCTGGGCATCTCGTGCACCCACGAACTTGGTCTCGGCAGCAGTCGGGGAGTCTCCAGCGGCAACCACACCATTTTGCTGGAGGGCGCTACTCATCCCCGACTCTATAATCTCCTTCAACATCGCCTCCGCCTTCTTCACGGCCTCTTCCGCTCCCCTTATCACACAGACAGCCGCCGACCTCTCTTTGACGCCTCCACCCGCTCCTCTCTTGCTCAACTGCACATCCGTGCAAAGCGTCAACTTCTGAATTTTATGCAACTGAGACAGCTACAATTGATTTGAGCAACTCTATAAATTAATACTACAGTTCTCCCTGATGGTCCCACAACACTAGCCACCTTATCGTGTGGTATGGCAACCTGCACTGTCGTCATCAATGCCAACAAGGCCTTATGCTCCGCCACAGCACGACGCAGTAGCTGAAAGACAACACAGTGACCAACTTTACACTTTCCTGTACTCACTTTCATCGCTAATGCGACCTCTGTAGGTCCACCAACTGCCTTCACATTCTTCCCATCACCACTCTCCTCCACATAAAGCTTAGTCCCCGAGTCTCGAGCAATCTGGTGTAATGTAGCCTGCCCGTTAGCACTGAGCATATTCACCACCGCCTCCGCCAGGTCCCCATCACCCTTGCACTCCTTCAAAGTCTCGAACCTCTCTGCAGTGCCACTCGTATCAATAAGCTTTTCAATCAACACTCTCGCCTTGGAAGCCGCTTGAGCATTGCCCAGAAGCTCCAGATGGGCCTCCTGCCCGTCCCCGCCTTTCCGTAAGGTCAAGCGGATGAGCCCTGACTTCCTCTGAATGCTTCGCAGGTTGCCCGTATCCTCCCAAATGTGGCTATGCTCGGATGAAACCGGTACTTTCTCAACGGCCAAAGAAGCCTCTTCGACCAGATGCTGGATATCCTTCACCGCGGCATCCAACTCCTTCTCCAAAGTCGGATCGTCGTTGAACGGTAGAAGCACTTGTAGTGTTGTATCAGAGTCCCTCAGTATCGTACAGCCACATTGCCTCCTGATAGTGGCAAACCTGCTTGCCACGCTGGTGTGGCCGCCCTGGCCCGCACCAAACAGCCTGTCCAGAACCTCCTTATTAGAGCACTTCACCACTCGCTTACCAACACTGTTGGCATATTCTCGGACCATCTTAAGCCCAGTAGCGACGTCATTAGCGCTCGCCCCGCGAATAGTGACATGAGCGATACCAGTGTTCTTATGAGCATTGGCATCAGGTGGAGGGCCTTTGATGTGAATCTGGCACTTGGACAGGAACTCCAACCGTCTTATGTTTTCTCCCCTGTCTCCCACGACACACTTGGCTATTCCAACTTCAAGCTTCAGCGACGTGTCTCTGAACTCCCCACGACGACCTCCTAACTCCTTATGGTCTCCCCCACCACTCGAACCAGTGCGAGGCCTCGGTCGCTCACTCATAGCAGTATGCAGCTCCTCGACAATCTTATCTACCTTCTCTGCCTCAGGGCTGTATATAGTAACAGAGTCCCCCTTAGCATCCTTGACGATCACAACACCATGACGCGACTCGAGCTGAGGGGCCAGCTGGAAGACCCTCCTCCTGATACTGTTCAACACGTTAGGACTAGCACTTCCATGTTCAGGCAGCACTAGGCTGATGGAACGGCTCACCACCGGGTTGAAAGTCTCCATCTTCCTCAGCGCGCCTTCTACGGCTTCCTCCTTGATTCCCGTCACTTTTATTCCTCTCACAGACCGTTTTTCGCCAAACACTGGTTGCAGACATACCCTATATTCCTTCTCCCACTTCTGAGCCAGTTGACTAGAGCCACCATTAGGCAATAGCACGTCGAGCAGAGCAGACGATACACCCGCATCTCTAGTGATCTCTTTAGTATGCAGTTGTTCTAGTGGCGGTACCTCCTCTAGGCCTAGTATTTGCTGCAGCCTATGAGCTACACGTCCCATCCCACCGTCCTGAGGTGCCCTCGGGGGTCGGCTCGGCTTGGCCGGGCTCTCCTTCCTTGACTGACCCTGTTGTTGCTGTCGCTCTACAGTGTTCTTAATGGCATTGACACGTTGCTGGAAGGAACGGAAAGCTTCCTGCTCCACCAAACGTACGAACTGGGATTCCAACTCAGTGAGCATAGCCTTAGTCTCCTTGGCGTCTATCGAATCTGTACTTTCAAAACAACCGAGTGCTGTAGATAAGTCGTAACTGAGTCAACCCTGTGATACCACACCAATTACACTTCCTACATTTGTAGCCTCAACTGCTGGACAGTTCCTCTAAAAGAAGGCTTCGGTTGAAGGCGGGCCCTCTCGGCCTCCACGACGTGCGCCAACTTCCGGATGAACTCGTCCGAGCTGCTTCTATCCGTCTTGCTTAACTTCATAAGGCTCGCCTGCGAAGACCAGATGACCCACATGGTGCCCAACGCAGAAAATCACCTCTTCCTTGAGCTTGGCGGCGAGTTCCTCAAAATGGGCTGCTGGTTCAGTAGGGATGGCTGGCAAGTTCGCTTCGCTCTGAAATCGTAATAATCACACGAACTGATAAGAAAAGCGTCGACGAATCGATAGATTGTCGGTTCGATTCCCCATAAGAGCATCAGTAATATTACCGGCACTGTCACAACCCCAGCAGCATCCTTGGCCTTCTGTTCATTACGCAGCTTGTTCTTCCTTCTCCTAGCACTTGTGCTCATCACAAACCCACCAGACGAATCGGAAGAGGCACTCTTCCTCTCCAAGGTGTCCTCGGGCGTTGACAGTGTAGGTGCTGGAGATTGCTGAGGAGCGCGACCACTTCTTACGGCTGCAAGTACCGGGGATTGCCTATTACCTCGACATTAGCGGCATCGCCATCCGGCTGTTGCTTCGGCTTGGTCTTCTTCTTGTGTCCCATAGTAAGAAGACAAACTGAATTCCTAGCACCAGGCACTCGTGTGGAACTCGTGTAAGATTTGGTGAAAATTCCCCAGCAGTAAATCTCCCCCAATCCGTATTCGTAGATGTCAACTTTTAAATCATATTCTGCTAAGCAGATGCAGAGAGATCCTCATCATCCCAAATTCAACATCAAAAGGAACAACCCTCAGGAAGACCATCTGGAACTACACACTGAGAACATTAACCTTCTAGTATTATCATTTTGCAGAGCCCATAGGACGCCCTGAGAGCAACGTAGTGTAGTCTGAGATTTTTTCCAATGATCGTATTGTTGTCAAACATTTCGAACATTTTGCACGAACATATTTGACCTAAATGCACGTATTTGGTCTGCTCATCAGCTTTTGAGTAGTGTGAAAGAGAAGCCATGATTTACTCAGTGGTATTTTCTTAAGTGGCTTATAGTTCTAGTGGGTGGATTGACTACAGGGGGGAAGGGTGGGGGTTATGGGATGGAACGTCACTTTGGCAGCTGTACTACTACTACCCTTTAGTGGAAGCAGCACCAGCATCATGTCGGAACCACCGTCGGACCAGAACTCCTCTAACCCTCTCGAGGACACCGTTAATAAGCTGTTTAATCGGCTTTATAACGGCGAGATGAGTACACAAGACTTGGTTAACGTAGGGATGCCGGAGGATTCAAAAGGAGACGAATTGGTTGGATTCAGATGATGTTACAATTCTCGCGCGAACCTGATGTTGGGACGCCGCCGACGAACCGTCAGATTTTTGAGCACATGATTGTGAATCTGTGCGACGAGCTTAGGTTCATCACAAGGTACTAGAGGTGGTCAACATGGAGCTCCGCGTGCCCTTCATGGGTGTTGAAGATACCATCCGTTAGATATCCCTCGAATGAGCTTCGCATCACTGCGGAATTGATCGGGCAACTACTGCGGTTTGACTTGGTCTCTCAAGTCCACAAAAAAGTCATTCTGGAGACCAAAGAGTAGCTCCTGAATGGAAATTGGAGGAGTTATCGGGCCGGTGTAGGTACACCCCTTTGCAGATTTGCATGAGGGTCATCCTAGATTCCCTCAAGAGACCGCCGTACTCCCGAATGTTCCGCTTTGGCGTAATACCACACCTCTTTCACTTCTCCTCTACCTCTGCCCATCGTCAGGTGCTTATTGTAGAACAGTTCTTGGACCGCATAGCTCGTTGGCCGCAGATGTGTGCTGCCTTGGTGGCTGAGCGAGGAGTAGGGCCTCAGTTCAAAAGCTGCTACCCAGACTACTACGAGTAGCACCTTCAGCGGTCCTCTTTGTTTCCCACTTATCGTTTTCCATTAGCTATCTCGTGGAGCTGCTCAACGCCATCCCGGCTGAGTACCGCGACAGGCCAGTGATTGATCACTCATTATTGCTCCAACAGTGGATTCACCTGCCCCCAGCGCCCGAGCTCTATCCTCCACCATTACAGGAGAAGGAGGAAAGGGAGCTCCACGCTGCTAGGGTTGCTGCATTCAAGGCCGGCAAACCGATGCCGCCCCCTCGCAGAGAACTGGTACTATCAGCTTTGGAATTTTTATCGTCACCTCATTATCTTTCGTCAGCCGGCTGCCGCAGTTCCTGAGAAAGCTAGGAGCAGTTCGCCAGAGTCGCGTGGCGGGTCCCAGGAGCCGTCACAGCCAGTGATCATCCCTGTTGACCGGATACTCTCGGATGAAAAGGTGGGCATGCTCCACGTGTTCTGTATGGTCCTAGGGTCCTGCCTTTAGGCTATGGCTGGTATTGCCATCCCCCCTGATTGGTTCTGCGACCTAACAATGCAGACCTTCAACGCGCTTACTCCTCAGAATCTGCGGGAGAAAGCGGCGGAGCTCAGAGAGGTGCTTAGCTGCTTCATACGCCGCTCTTCAGGATGTTGATTTTCCCTTAGAATCTCAAACCTGAGTATTTCCAGTGGTTTTCGATGTACATGGTCAAGAGCCGCGTAGCCAAGGAGGTTAACCTCCAGCCTTTGTTTTTGAAGGTAGGAAACTTCCGATCGATCAGCTCACCATTGAAGTTTTTATTCTCAGTTTTTGGACGCCTTAGGCCAGAATAAGCTCATTGACTTCGTCACTCAGAGCACATTCACTCTGTTACATTTGCTTCTTTCGGATGATGCTCTGGACATGGCAGTAGTCTCACCAGCTCATAGGACAGCTCTCAAGAACCTAGGCACCTGGCTGGGCAGTGTAAGTGCTGCAGGGTCGTATTCATCTTGAGAGGGATCCCTTTAGATTACTATTGGACGGAACCGCGCCCTTAAGGCGAAGGACCTTGACCTGAAGCAGCTGTTGTTGGACTCTTACTCCAGTGGCCGCCTTACTGCCACTCTCCCTTTGGCGTGTAAAATTTTGGAGTCTTTGAAGGACTCACGGACGTACAGGCCGCCGAACCCCTGGAGTAACGCTCAGCTCAGTCTGCTGGCAGAAATCCACGATGTGAGGGATGCTGCTGTCCGATGGTTGGGATGGACTGTTTTGGTAGATCCCAAATCTTCGGACGAACTTGGTGTTCGAGATAGAGCTCCTAGCGAAGAAGTTGGACTTGTCCCCGTCCTTCCGGGAGTATAAGAAGACAGACCTCTTGGCGGGAAGGACCATGCCTGAAGGTATGACAATTTCGTGGCGCGTGACAAGAACTGTTTGGTATTAGGCTCTCCGGATGTCTCCAAGGGCCCTCACCCGCTCGCAGTGGGTCGTACGGAACCGACTCCTCGACCAGCAGTTGGCATACCTCCACCAGCGGGCCACCCTGGAGGTCCCTCCCCCCAAGTTGACTTTTCTCAACGCATTGCCAATGCTATGAACATGGCCAACTTGTGGCAGCAGGGTCAGGTGGCAGCAACTTCTCCACCACAGCCCAGGATGTCCCCTGTCCCGGCTGCCGCTCAGCAACCCATGGGCGCACCACCAATTCCTGTACCCTCGGTGGCATCTATGCAACCAGCGAGCTCCTTTGCGGCACAGGCAAAGAGCTCTCCTGCTGCTGCTGCTCCTGCAGGAGACAATGAAGGCTTCATCCTTCCTAATCTGCCCAGTCTGGTGATCATAGATCCCAATGTGGAACTCTTCCGTCTCCAGCCTAAGTTGAAACCCATAGTGCCGTTGGCGATGGACCGGGCTATAAGGGACATAGTCACTGCTGGTAGGGATGCTACTCGGCTGTTAGATAGTAATGCCTTGATACCGCTTTTCAGTCGTCGAGCGTAGTGTATCAATAGCGACTCTGACGACTAAGCAGGTCGTGCTCAAGGACTTGGCGATGGAGCCGGACGAGCAAGTGGTCAGGAAGGCAGCTCAGCTGATGGTCTCTAACCTTGCTGGTGCTTTGGCTCTTGTCACTTGCCGGTAGTACTCTCCATATTCTTATAGAGGGTCCAAGGATGTTAATGTCAGGGAGCCACTCCGACTTTCTTTGACCAACCATCTCAAGGCTCTTCTCAATCCTGGGAATGCCGCGCCCCCACAGGACTATCAAGAGAACGCTCTCATCGAGCAGGTGAGGAACTTTAGGTCACTCCCTCCGGAACGCAGTGCTATGATATGCAGGTCATCTCTACCGTAACCACCGACAACTTGGAACTCGGATGTCAACTTATTGAGAGAATAGTCTGTGAAAGGGCAGTTAAGGAGATAGATGTAGTCTTCCAGCCGGTGAGTTCAAGAGACCCCTCCCGCTCCTAGGACGGCATCACTTTATTAGGCCTATGAGGCGCGCCAGAGGCACAGGGAGAAATACGGTCCCAGCGGTCCTCAGTTCGTGGACTCGGAGTTCTATGATGTTAGTGGGACCTGGCCTAACTCGCTGCCCAGCAGTTTGAGACCGAGACCAGGACCATTGCCAGCTAGAGAGCTGAGGGTAAGTACAGTGTAGTTGGTCGGGTGAACTGCATGTACATGCCACAGTGGGGATGTCTGTATTGAACAGCAGTCGGATGGTGCTTAGGTGTATCGGGATTTCTTGACCAAAGTGAGGCCCCCGGCCACGGGCGGTGTGCCCCCTCCAATGAGTGGAGCGGTTCCTGCGGATATCCAGCGCAGGATCGTTGGAGCTCCCCCAGGAGTAGTAGCAGAAACACCGCCAACTTGATGGGAAATTTTTGTGTAACAGATGCAGCCCAGCGCCCCTCAGCCACCAGCATTACCATCACTGGTTCAAGTCCAAAGCATTGTGAAGCAGCTGCATGCACAGGTAATGTATGGCTGGGAGCGAGGGGCACCATGGACTTCCTGGCAGGCTTCGGGTGCGGTCCATCAGCTCGAGTCCCTACCCACGGAGGGTCCTCAAGGGAAGGTATGGCGGTTCACAAAGATCTTACTAACCACCGGTCTGGAGGAGGTTATCGCTCGTGCCGCTACCAACGAGAGGGTAGTTGGTCTATACTTTACCTGATGCTTCCGGATTGTTGGACTGTAGGTTCTGACTATGCCCGAGATTAGTGATACTCAACGGCCACAGCTGGACAGTTTCTATGCTTTGGTTGGTCTATGCAGCCTTACCGCACCATCAGAAGAAGCTAGTGCTCCTAGCGCTGGTCTCACTGGATGGCAGGTAGTTGACCTGAGCAAACTTCTATTCCAGAGAGGAATCCTCCTTTTCTGTAGTTGTTGTTGAAGAACCTCGATGAGATCCTCAAGCATGACCCAGGCCTGGCAACTGTGGTGGTCTCTCATGTATTGAAAGAGATGAACCGCAAGTTCGACCAGTTGGCCGCCATGTACGTTGGAGTCAACGTGCTGGCTGAGAAGACTAAGACTGATGTAGGATGCAGTGGGAAACTACCAAAAGCTTATTGTATGTCTTCATTATCTCAGGCGGCAGCAGCAGTAGCGATCAAACAACAGCTACAGTGGTCACAGAGTCACGTCACAGAAGCACATGTCCGCCTGGAGATCCACTTGGCCATGCTTGGTAATATACAGATCCCCATACCGTTCTGATTCATCCATGTTTTTGCAGGTGTGGTATTGCAAACTGTTGGAGCCTCTAGTGAGGATACCGCCTTGCGAGTAGTACAGACGCCCTTGTTGGCCTTCTGCGTTGAGCTATTGCATAGGAAGCTGCTAGGCCATACTTCGGAGTATTAGTGAGAATTTCGTCACGCGCCACGAAATTATTTTGCTTCTCCTTGTTCAGTGGTCAAACTCCCTTCGCAACACAGAGGCTCAGAGGCAGGCCCTCCAGCTGGTCTGTGCGGGGTCATCGCTACTCTTTGGTGAAGGAGTCCGAAGTTGACACTATTCTACAAAGGCTTTTGACGGAGTACAAGTCGCCACAGAACACTATGTTTGTGGTAATGCTTTCAGAGGGGGCCTAGAGGCAGTTGACTTTGAATATTTTCCATTGTTGGTAGGTTACCTTCCTCCAGCTGGTCCTCAACAAGATGCGTATATCGACAGTTCAGAGCTGGGTGCATTCCATTGAGGTTATCCAGAGGATTGGCCTCCGCCTTAGAGAGCAGATGCAACATCCGGGATCTCATTTGGTAGGGACCTGGGCATAGTGTTGGGAGTTTTATCATCATGTGTTTGGTAGAGTACATTGGAGAAGCAATTGGCAATGACGACGGCACAGTTTGTAGAGGCTTGCAAGCATTCGGCCCAGGTTCTATACCCAGACAGGGTATTACAATACAGAAGGGTAGTACGTCCGCACCTCAGACAGGATCTTCCCATCATCCACATCAGGCCCTCACGCTGAACAAGGCACCTCAGAACGCTGTACCGCCAGAGGCTATCCACTATCTTGCGATACACGTAGGTCTTTCTGTGGACACTTAGTTCGAATGCTTCGTCTTAGGTGCCTCCATCGTCGCAGCTACAGCCTCCTAGTAGCACCAAGTCGCTGGTGGACAATGTAGGTGTATTCAGGTGACGGGGGGCATGGCAGTCTTGATGCCAGGTCCCGGAGGCTACCAAGGCATCGTATATCGACGCTTTTGATGCATGGCGGAAGAAGACGTCGAAGGAGGCCAATCTCCCATGCGAGTTGCCGAGTACTAAGGACGAGCTCAAACGCTTGAAGATAAACTACCTCAACGAGTACTTCATTTCGAAGGTAAGGAGCACCGCTCCGCTGTTGACCATGTACTGGTCGCTCTCGTTATCAGGGGCGACCTGTCGGGACTAATGACCAGCCAAGTTGGTTCCCAAGCTTCCTGGCTGTAGTCCTCAGCCATGTTGTGGATTTGGCTACTATGGAGACCGCTGATGCAAATAGGGACAGCGAGAATCCCGAGTAAGGGCAGCCAGCCCGAGGAGTAGTAGAATATTGATTTTCCAATACTCAGAAAATCTACTCACGAGACAGAATTGAAGTTTGACGCCATCGACTGCTTCGCTTCGCTAGTGGTAAGTGGATTCCTTCTTGTAGGCGAGAAATATTTCACATCAGGTCCTTCTCACTCTGGATCCCACCCGACCAGTAGAAGGAGGGGATTCTCCTATGCCGGTGTCTAGTACGGTAGAGTATAACGCTATAAGGATGCTACACAAGGCCCTTGAGGTACTAATGGTTGACTGAATATAAATTCTATAACATGAAGTGCTTCGCTCCGCTGTAAATAGTCCTGTGGTTTCAGATGATATCCCGACATATATGGACTGATGCCAACGCCAGTGGCGATAAGTTCAATCAGCGTTTCTACACCAGGATGATCTCTGAGCTGCTCCAGGTGAGATCAATCTCCAGTAGTGTTTCTCGTATCAGTATCACTCGATACGACTTCAGGGTTGTTTGGATGCCCGAGTGTCTCGAGAGGTCCAGTATAAGGAAGCTCTGCGCGGCCCTCAACCGATCGACCCTCTCAGCGAGAAGTAAGCCATCGATATGCAGTAAATAGATCTTCGATGACGATACTTCTGAACCGTTCTGCTGAATTCGAGACTTATGCTCCGCTGTGTCAGGTACTTGTGTGCTATTCTGTCCGCATTTGCTAAGACTCTTTCATGGGTTGGTCCGGGACAAGTACCACAGTTCGTTTTCGGCTGGGCATCTCTGTTAACTGACGATAAATTTTTCCCTCGTCTGGTGAGTGATCATTTTCTCATCGCACGCATGCTCACTCTGTGCATCCCCAGATGCAAGTTCGCGGTCAGCGGGGATGGTTGGCGGCTTCCCGGCTGATTCAGCAGCTACTTCGTTTCATAGTACCTTATCTGTCGAATAGCAAGGAGACGCCGCTCGAAGACGGCCTTGCACGAAAGGTAGAAGCATGATGGGGGTGCGTGCTCTGATGTAGCGGAAGTGTGGTAGGTTCCGGAGCCGATCAAGGTCCTCTACACTGGTCTGTTGAAGATATGGATGACGGCGATCCAGGAAGACTACCCAGAGTTTCTCTCGGACTTCCAATTCGGTCTCGTCAGTGAGCTCCCCGAGAACTGCGTAAGAGTATTATTTTGAGGTTGGTTGGCTGGATGCTTTGTCGTAGGTTCAAGCTAAGAATATGATACTGTGTGCCTTCCCTAGGGGAATGAAGCTACCCGACCCGTTCGCTTTGGATCTTCAAGTAGACACTCTCCCGGACATGCGGATAACGCCAAGGGTAATATCATCATAGTGTTCTGATCCACACTCCACTTGAATTTTCGTGTGCTATGTAGCTTTTGTTGCCGGAGACTACTGTATTGGAGCAAGCGGGCCTTTTACAGCTGATAGACGAGTACGTTAAGGTCCGAGATCGGTCGCTTTTGGATACGCTGAAGAAACGCCTCCAGGGCCCAGTGGGATACAACCATACAGTGATGACGGCTCTAGTCGAGTAATAACAAGTCTTGTAGCATTCTTATGGTCGTTATTCTCATTGTGAAGGTATATTGGTATTCGTCTGCCTATCGTCTGTCCAACCTATGAGCAAGCAGTTAAGGTTGGCGGCAACGTTCAAGTGGAGATCTTGATGTTCATGGCTTGCAATCTCGATCCTGAGGGAAGGTCGGTTCGTCCGTTTCATTACGGCAATGACACTTGTATTGTATCAGATACATCTTCCTTTCGACCATTGTCAACTTCCTGCGTTTCCCCAACTCTCACACTCACTACTTCAGTTGTCTCATCTTGTAAGTGGGGGGTGTCTTGCCGTAGTACCATCACTGCCTCAGGAACTTGTTTGGTGATGCGCCCGTTGCATCGGTTCGTGAGCAGATAGCCAGGATTCTTCTCGAGCGGTAGGTTGCTCACTTTCGGCTTACCTCTTCCATTGGCCATTCTCAGGTTGATCGTCCGACGTCCGCATCCTTGGGGTCTGTTGATTACTTTCATCGAGTTGGTTAAGAATCCTCGATATCGTTTCTGGGAACACCCGTTCGTAAGTCTACCTCGTCTGCATCGTTTCATTTCTAACTTATATTCTGGGCAGATGCAAAACCCCGATATTGAAAAGCTGTTCCGCACGGTTGCCATGACGTGTGTGGCCACTCTCCCTTCCCCAGGCTCGCAACAGGCTGTGGCCTCCAATCGAGCGTAAGTTGTAATGAGGACCTTCCTGCTGATGGTAGAGATACGATTGCTGTATACTTATAGAGGATCTAATACTGATCATCCTCCCTATTTTCCCAAGTAGAATGACGGATAAGTTTTGCTTGTTGACTTCATATGAGCAGCATCCACTGTGATTACCAGAGATACCTCTGTTCGAGTTGCTTAAACCTCTACACGCTGTATTTTCTAGACTACTTCCTTCTCCCTTGTGTTGGTCACTGGGGGACTGTGGATGGGCGGCTCATTTTCATCTAATGACAAACGTCGACTGAAATTCGTAGTCTATGTGAAAGGTTGAGTGGAGGCGAGTATGTCAGTGATGCGAGGGACGGTATGTTCGTGTGGTTGGAGTCTCCTGCATTGGCCAGTCTCGTTTTAGTGGGTCATCATGACGGCCTACGACACTGCTGGTACAGTGCTGATGTCGATGACTGCTGAGTGTTACTGTGAACTATCGGCACGAGCCGAACAAGCAGGGCTAGTGAGACCGGCTCTCTAGTCGATGGCGGCTCTGTTGTGACCGAGAGGAGTTAATAAAAGCCCACTTGATTTTCTGGGACTGGAGGCAGCCCGAAGCAATCAGGATGGTCTTGGCTGGGCTTTGGGACGAAGTTAAATGTTTGAGCTATCACGATGAGGGAAGGAAGAACTGGTAGCTTCCGCTCAGGTGTGTTCTGTCTGACAACAGACAGCCTTCTTCCTGGCCGGCTCGTTAGCACCCATCCAGAGGAGCTGCGGCACAATGCATCATCTGTTTCTGTGTGGACGGTGAGGAGCTCGTCTCGGTTGGAGCTGACCAGTGCTACCTGGTCATGAAGCCATGAGATCACGACTGATGTGGTTTACATCACACTAGTTGGCTTGGTTGAGTATTGAGTGCCCTAATGGTTCTGTAGCAGAGGGAAGTCATTTTGCCCACTAGGAATCACCTATTGTTGCCGTAGTCGAGTCGTCTCATGTCCAGCACTATTCCTAACTCCAGAGGCTGGCATTGGCCACGACCCGATCCGTTCCGCTCATCGTACTCGGCGGGATTCACGGGACAGATAGTGCGGACCCCACGGGATGATGGGAGGAGGAGAATGCAGCAAGTCGGGTTGATACGGGATAGGCTTGACGTAGGGGCATCAGTGTGGTAGCCATGGAACTGTTCAAGCGGAGCGAAGCACTGCAGGTTGATAATTTTTGGGTTTCAGGTAGGATTTGTAGAAGCCATATCACGTCGTAATCCCCGACTTTCACAAGAGTGGAATCTGTCACCGGATCGGCTTGGTGAATCCCCCAGAGAGCACCCAGCCAAGCGCCGGCGCCGGTCATCTGAAATATCTTACATCGATCTTATGGATGCAACACAGGTGGAAATACCGGTACCACCATCACCCAACGAGAATCAGGGTAGTATTGTGGCACCGTTCGCTCGGTTGTCTGAGACGCGTTGTGATCATATTCCCGTATACATAGTCGTCCGTAGGGTTCTCCCCTATAGGTTGCCCTCCTGCAGCTCCGCCGACCCCGAACGAAGGCAACAACTGTATAGAGTGTGCCATATGTCTCTGTCCAGCAGAACCAGGCTCGATAGTCGGTACATTGCATGTTGGGCCTTCTAGTGCTGAGCCCAGCTGCCCTCACCGTTTCTGTTTCGACTGCATATTCAAGTGGTCGAAAGCGACGAATCTCTGTCCTCTGTGTAAGGGAAGATTCGGCTGCATACGGAAGCACAAAGTGGTCCGAGGCAATATAACGCGGTAGGCAGGGCTTGGAAGGTCTTCCCGGTCCTCTTGGCCCCCCACACGTTGGCTCAACCCCCGGTTGTAGTCGCGATGTTCATGACTGGAAACAGTGAGTATCTACTATTCAGTGCCATCGAAGGTCCTTTGGGCCTAGTACGAGTGAAGAAGAAGGATATGCGGCCTGAGGATTTCGTCACGCCTCCTGGGGAGGACGGAGAACTACGGCAGCTCTATAATGACCTTGTTTGTGAGGTACGAATAACATATCATTTTCAGTGAGAATATCGGATAACGCGACTTGAAACCACGCGTTCTCAAGAGCTAATTTTCCTGTGAGTAAATTAAACTACCGGTTGATTTCTTCACTACATTCATTATGGCGAAGGCCTCTGAGGTCTGTGATGTGATAGGAGTGATATTCTTCACTGTAGGTATGTCGAGAAGGGACTGCTGAAAATGCCCTCCTGATTTGCGAGATGTGCGATAGAGGCTACCATACCTTCTGTTTGCGCCCACGGCTCACCTCAGTGCCTCTGGACGACTGGTACGTGAGAGATGCATGAGGTTATATATAAGTGGTCGTAGGTTCTGTCCGGAGTGCCAGCAAGCCATGCTAGAGTCAGTGACCACGTCCCCACCTCCCCGACGCTCCCTCCGACTGCAGCGGAGATCTACCAGTCGATCGAACACACCAACTGAGTGCAGTTCTTCATCGACGTCCTCCTCCTCGTCCTCTTCTATAACGGGGCGGCAGTCCCCGGTAGCCCATCGGACCCGTTCTTCTATGGGCCGTGCTATCCAACCCCAGCACGAGAGGCGACGACTTCGACGTGGCTTGAGGGAGTCAGTGGCCAGCGAGGAATCCTGTGGGGGTTTCTCTGTTGAAAACTTCGTTCGCTCACATCTGCGTCGTCAATCGGGCCGTGCTTCAGCCCTCCGACTCAGTCAAAGCTCACGACCAATTGTTCTTGATGCTACTCAGCCAGAGACGTTGGAGCGAGGTGGGCGGCGTGATAGGGATCGGGTTAGTGTGTGGGAGGAGGCCATTAGCGACAGCGACAGTAGCAGGAGTGGACGGGACCCGGACAGGAACGAGGGTTGGACCGATTCTGTGCTGAGGGATCACATGCTAAAGAGGAATCTTCGTTTCACGGGAGGGAGCTGTTAGGATGTAGCGATGTAGAAATTATTATCACCAACGTACTATGGGTTGCAAGAGCTCATGAAATGCATCTTGGTATAAGAAGAGCAGTCTTGAGTTAGTTGCCAGGTCAATATGCAGGCTGTGGGATTCGAACCTGCAACCTAGGGCATTTTGATTCAGTCTCTATGGATCTATCCCCGCCAGCCGTGAAGCGTCTACGCACTTGTGGGGGCCTTGACCCTAGTCTGGCTGAGGAGTGGAAACGGAAACCTGTGCCGGCTGATGCTCTGACAAAGTCATTGGCTTTCATGCAAGTGAGAGTCTTCGCACTAGGGGTACTTTTGTGGCGCGGTGACGCAGCGAGTGTTCAGGTAGATGTTGATAACTACTCCGCGGCCCCTCGAGCATGCGATCCGATTCAAAATGGAGAAGTACCAGTGATCCGAATGTGAGTAAAGTCACCTAAATTCCATCATCTATGTGTCTATTCCAGGTTCGGGGTCACCGCTACAGGCAATTCACTCATGTGCCACATTCACGGTTTCCTCCCCTACTTCTACTGTCCGAGACCAGACCAGACGGTTGACTGCGAGCGCTTTCAGACGCGCCTCGAATCGGCCCTCCGCGGCTCACAGACGGCCTCTGGGAGTCGGTGCAAGCAGCTGGTGACCAGTGTAGAGGTAACTTGCACTTGGTCTCTCCCTCTGGGACTGGACTGATCAGATCGTGGTCCGGGAGAACCTCAATGGATGGACCGGTCGGGACACGGCAAGTGAATACTTCCGAGTGACAGTGGCACTTCCCAAATTCATATCGACCTCTCGAGGAGTGCTGGAAAGAGGCATCCCTGTCCTCCAAGGTTGATTCGTGGAAGTCTGTGGTTATCTCAGCTCTCCTGCCATTTCAGGGGATGCCTTGTGGAACTGCACGACCTTCGAAACCAACATTCCGTATCCACTTCGGTTCATGATCGACAACGATATTGGAGGGGGCTCCTGGGTGAGGCCCTCACTCACTGCTGTCTTCAGTCTATGAATACCAGGTTGAACTCCCCGCTGGGTCATACACTCCTCGTACTGACAGTGATAGGGTAAGCACGTGCCAGATAGAGGTAGATGTGCAGGACTACAGGCAGATAATAGGTCACATGGCAGAAGGTGAGATGATACTGCTGAACACATGGCGGTCGATGCTCCTCGATTAAGGTGATTGGATGGCACTGGCCCCTCTACGTGTCGTCTCTTTCGACATTGAGTGTGTCTCTGAGCACGGTAAAGGCTTCCCAACGCCCGACGTGGCCCCAGTGATCCAAATAGCTGCTGTGATGCAGGAAGGAAGTAGGGTCAGGAAAAGGTGTTATTCATAGTAGCAGTTGATGTCCCTCTCAGCTGAGCAGAAGCATAAGGTGGTGTGGACCTTGGACACTTGTGCGGACATCGCTGATGCTACAGTGGTGTCTTTCCAAAGTGAAAAGGACCTCCTCTCGAGTTTCCAACAGTGAGTATCCTGACTCTTCTACTTTGGCCAGTGTGTATTATTTCGGTCCGTTGTGATTCCCGTACGGACAAGTTCACTTTGGATAGGTATATGGTCCTGGTTGATCCTGATGTCGTCACTGGTTACAACATCATCAATTTCGATTTCCCTTATTTGCTGGACAGATCAGCTCATTTGAAGGTAGCAGTTCAGATCTTCAAAAGGATCAGCTCCCTTTTCATAAGGTTCACCCTCCATTTGAATATCTCGGCCGCTTGAGAGGTGTGGCCTCCAAAGTAAAGGACTCAGTGTTCGAAAGTCGTGCCTTGGGACGGCGGGAGAATAAGGACATTAATATAGAAGGCAGAGTGCAGTTCGATATGCTGGTGAGATCATCCTCGTGGGAGATCTAGATAGGCTATGTTGAGGATCAACTTCTTGATGACAAGGGCCAGCTATTCCTGACAGATCAGCATCGACATTGTATCCCACCGATAGGGCAAGATTCACGCAATATCGGCTACGAATTGGCATTAGCGACGATCACCGCGTTGCTTTGTACCTAACTGAGAAAAGATAGAACCTTAGCTTTTGATATAGCAATGTGAAGGGAAATGTGGGAGAGGGGCGGTCTTGTTATTAAAGTTTTGAGACCTTCCGCGAAGCGTGGTAATCAGATTGTGATGCAGCGAGAGCATAAGTTGCGGAGTTATTCTCTCAACGCAGTATCGGCTGAGTTCCTAGGAGAACAGAAGGAGGACGTGCATTATTCCATCATTGGAGACCTGCAGAAAGGCACGCCAGAGACACGCAAGCGGCTGGCGGTGTACTGCTTGAAGGACGCCCTTCTCCCACTACGGCTCATGAACAAACTTGTCTGCATGTGAGTTCATCCATCTGAGTGAAGCTATGGGCGACGAACCGATGTATGGGGTAGGTACAACTACACGGAAATGGCCCGTGTGACAGGAGTGCCCATCAACTACCTGCTCACTAGAGGGCAGATGATCAAGGTTGCCTCGCAGCTGTTCAGGAAGGTGGGATGTGCCAACGTCGTTACCTCCAATGAAACAACGATCATTAGGCCCGATCTCACGGCTATGTCATACCTGCGCAGAAATCAAGTCCAGGTGGCGAATATGAGGGCGCTACAGTAAGCTAACACTTGTTTTGTGTACGTCAAGGGAGATGGCTCAGGTCCTGGACCCGTCAACGGGGTTCTACCAGAATCCCATTGCGACACTCGATTTCGCGTCACTGTATCCGAGTATCATGCAGGCTCATAACCTGTGCTACTCTACACTTGTTCAGCCATCGGTTGCGCAGAGGGAGAATCTGACTGAAGGAGACGAAGGAGATGTGGGCTCTGCCGTGCTAGTATTGAATTGTATGCGGTTCACTGTTAGGTCACCCGAACTCCTTGTGGGCATCTATTTGTGAAGCAGAGTGTTCGGAAGGGCCTCCTGCCAATGGTTTTGGAGGAACTGTTGCAGGCCAGGAAACGAGCTAAGAAGGAAATGGCTCAAGCTACCGACCCTCTGAAGAAGATGGTGAGTACTTAGAGGCAGCCATGAAATATACGGTTTGTATCATATTATTCTTCACCGCTGCATTCAATGTCGTTCGAACGGAGTGTGGGTAACAACTGAAGTGTTGGAAGTATGTTTATATTATCATCTGAACTCTGTGCCTGATCCAGGTTCTGAACGGTCGTCAATTGGCATTGAAGGTGTCAGCTAATCTGTCTATGTTTCACTGGCGCTACCGTGGGGATGATGCCTTGCTTGGAGATCAGCAGTAGCGTCACGGCATTCGGTCGGCAAATGATCGAGCACACCAAGACTTAGTCGAGCAAAAGTGATCATGGGCACGTCCTGGTATCTTTGCGGAGATGTTCTGTTCATTGTGACGCCTGGTCATTCAAAATTTCGAGTCGTCGGTATTCCACAACTCATTAGACTCCGCTTGAAGCCCCCATTTAGATATCGCGTTGAGAATGGTTACGCTCACGATGCTACAGTGATATATGGTGATACGGATTCCGTGTTCGTGAAGTTCGGCTGTGACACGGTGGAAGAGGCCATGAAACTGGGACAGGAGGCAGCAGCCTTCGTCTCGACTACCTTCATCGATCCTATCAAGCTTGAGTTTGAGAAGGTATGAGAAATCTCCCGAGATGGTCATCATTTGCCGCGTATTGGCAGGTCTACTTCCCGTACTTGCTGATGAACAAGAAACGCTACGCTGGGCTGTATTGGACTAATCCCGTGAAGGCAGACAAGCTTGACGCTAAAGGTAGCACCACACGGTCTCTCCCCGACTGAGATATCCGGCTTAAGGTATCGAAACTGTGAGAAGAGATAACTGTGAGTTGGTGAAAGTGGTGGTAGAGAACACACTGAACATCATCTTGAAAGAAAGCTCCTTGGATCGTGCTATTGCGTAGGCTCTCTCTTCCTCACCTTTTCAGTCTACTCGGTTCAGATTCATTCGGAAAACCTTGTCGGAACTCCTACAGAATAAGGTTGATATGTCAATGCTTGTCATTTCGAAGTCCTTGGCAAAGGGCATGGAAGACGTAAAGATTCACTTGATCATTGAGTCTGTCATTCTCTTGACAGGGGGCCTACGCAGCGAAGCAAGCCCATGTGGAGCTGGCCAAACGAATGGCTCAGCGAGATCCTGGCAACGCCCCTGCTATTGGGGACCGAATTCAGTGGGTTGTTCTGCGTGTTGGTTTCCGTGTACATCAGTAAGTAGATATGTCATCATAAGAGCACCGAAGGGAGTAGCACAGTACGAGAAGGCAGAAGACCCTCTATACGTAGACTGATAACCTAGACACCCTGGGATGCCTATTGATGAGTTTCAGGCAGTCGAAAATAACATACCTATAGATGGGCAACATTATATAGACCATCAGCTGAAGCAGCCCTTGATGAGGATATTCGAGAACATTCTTCCCAATGCAGAAGCTGTCCTCTTTACCGGTGAACACATGCGAAAGGTGATTCGAGACTGGAGACTGTGGGAAACCATGTACATCCCATTATCACTACAGAAAACGAAATTATAATCCTTTTTGGCTTTACGGTTGCCAGAATTCCGTCCCGTTTGTGTGCCTCGGACTGGCTTGTGATTACACTTTGCAGGTGTTCCAATCGGGAGCCTCGGCCACTGGTGGTCTCTCTATGTTCCTCAAGAAAACCCACAAATGTCTGTCGTGTAAGGCTGTCCTGAAGGATGGTCACGGTGGTGCCTTGTGCCAGCATTGCAAGAACGTGAAGGAGGGACAGGTAACGGCAAACCGACTCCATACTCTTCGAATATTCACCCAGGTCGTTATTGAGAAGACCAACGAGCTGCGAGCCTTGGAGGTGCAATTCTCGCGTTTGTGGAGCGAATGTCAACGATGTCAAGGGAGTGTAGAACAAGACGTTATATGTACATCGAGAGACTGTCCAGTATTCTACCGCCGTGCTAAGGTAAAGCTAAATGGTATTCACATCTAGTCAGCATTTCTCTCGGTAGGTACGAAAAGACGCCGCGAGGGCTGCTGATGCCGTGAGTCGTCTGAGAGAAGCGGTAGATTGGTAGAGGACGTTTTCACGAGTATTTAATCTCAATTTCGTGCACTTCTGAGCGACAAGTTTCGCGTTGAGCCTCTGATAATGTCGATATTTCCAGGGCATTGTACGGAACAACCTCCTGGGTGGATGGTCTGGTATTCACTGTGACAGCGATAAGGAACACCGGTATGAACAGCATGAACATGGAGATTCCAGTACGGGCATTTATTGATGGATTTTTCTCTCAAAGTTGCGACTTCGAAGGTTTGGGAGTTGCCAGTACGCTGTCACTAAGGGCTATTATAGAATCTGAGAGTATCTATAATCGTTTGACTTGAATAAACTCAAGAGCGATTAAGAGTTATAGAAATCGGCGATGATCTGAACACAGGAACGGTAAATAGTGGTGACTTTTTCATCATCCAAGGAAATGTAAATTTGATAGTATACGCAGAAAAGACCCGTATCCACAAGCAATGACTCATCAACAGTGCTTAAGGCGTTGTTACGAATGCAGGGCCGTCGACCTACTGCGGAATATAATACCCATCAGCACTGTCGGATGAAATTGATGATAAAACAACACAGAATAACTAGCGACATGCTGAACACAGTAGTACAGTCAAAATCGGAAGTCGATAGGAATGATGCGAGACGAAAAGATTTGCGGTAAATTTGCGGGGCTATGCTGTAAGGAGTATCTTGGTGTCTTCACTGATCGGAGGAATCACCGGTCTCCGACATAGAGGGCATGTTGGTTTGATCAACTGCGATATGAACCACCTGATCACCATAGCAATCAAGAATAAGCCTTGGAAAGTTCGCCTACGCTCTTATGCAGTCTTCGTGGAAGCAGTGACCGCATGGTAGTAGTCGGACACCAGGGTCATCCCGACAATCAGCAAGACATATGGGACATTCGAATGAGCCACCAGCTCGCCTGAACGATACAGACACGCGCACGATTTACAGCTATGAATACCCTCCCCATATGAGCAGCCAGATTGAAAACAACTCCCTCTCATTTTCACCCGATTATTACAATAAACCTCCACCGGGCGGATCTGTTTCATCAATTTCGCTCATTGAGTCATTACTAACAGCAGCACGGAGAGAGGCCAGGCTTAAGATAGATCTTTGGGAGATGGAGTGTCGGACACCCAGTGAGGTCATACCAGGTTTCTGAGGAAAAAATCAAGAAAATTGCACAAAATTTATCCTCCAAGTCCCGAATGTGAAATCTTAAGTGCAAACCCGATCTACTCGATTTCAACGGTGAGCATGTCAGAGAAGCAAAAGGCACCGAAAGCGAAAGTAATTGATTTGCTTGGCAATCAGAACCACCAGAATCTCCCAAGACGTAGCCTTCCTGGCCGCTGTGACGACCCACGTTCTATTCCTACCTGTGTATTGACGATTTTAGTTTTGTCCATGAGCTCCTGCAATCGAGCCTCTTGTTCTTTCAACGTATCACAGCGTAATGGCGGTGAAGGCTTTGGACTTTGGTAAGGCGGTACGAACACTAAACGGCCATTCCGCCGTTCGACGTATTTATACTAAAATGGATACCAACAATTGCGCAATTCAAGGCGGAGCATCTCGCTGTTACCCAGAGGAGAACGAAAACTGCGGCGAACCCCAAGACAATGACGATTGAGATGTAGGGCCAGCTATTGAAGGCACTCATCGAGGAATAATAAACATAGACCAACAAACTGCCAACGACAGGGTACTATTCGCCCAGCAGATCACGAATGTCACGGCAATCCTCAAACCCTCTATCCTACATTGACACGAGTGTTGTAAGAAGCTAGCTCACTATAGTATCTAAACCAGGATATGCTTTGCATGGAGCATATCAAGATACTCCAACGGAACCCTAAAGCAAGCAAAAGCATTAGAGATCTCTCACTCGACCTTAAAACAGTGCTGCCACCATCAGACTGACTGGCTGCCTGTATACAACTTCAACAAATGGTTTATCGAATCGATCTCATCGATTGTTGAATTTCATCTGTTACAGGCAGCAGAACCTTATGGACCACATATTACAGTTGAGGAAATACAAGATAGTTCAAGATTACAAGATGAGAGGAAGATTCAGATGAGTCGAAAGAACGTTGCGTTATGACCAGCCTGACTTCATCACCGTCCCTACCACTCCTAGGCCCAGGTCCTGATAGGCCTTTATCACAGTATCCCAGTATGGGCCTGAACAGGAGGCAACTGTGGCTCAGCAAAGTGGTGGCCTCCTTCATGGCTGTACTTTGCATAGCGTGTACAACTACCTTAGTGGTAGTCACCAGTAAATGCTCTACTACTCGAGCATTCGCCGACTCACTGTGTGAACATCTACCAACAATCTACATGATTTGGACCGCGGTTCTCTGTGGCACTATAGTCGCGACTTTTGTCGTCTATTACGGCCGAACGAAGTGATGGAGGTGACTTCAGTGTGTAGCATGTATGTGTGTCGAAATCGAATCAAGTTGATGTAGCGTTGGGAGTATTTCGAAAATGAACAGAAGCTTTACTCCGCCTGTCGAGAAAGGGTGGTAGAAGCAACCCTTGTCAAACTGAGTTCACTTATGTTTTCTAATGTTTCCAAGTCGAGAATCCATCGGATAGCAGTCCTGCAGAAACGGTATAAGGTAACGATACGTGAAAAAGATCTGGAGAAGCACTTTACTCGAAGTCCCGGTCCAGGAGGGCAAAATGTGAATGCGGTACTGCTGAGTCACTCGCTTTCCAGTCATATTGATGTTTCCGTTCAGTCTCATACTAGATGCCAACTAATTCTTGACTTTGCGAAATGTAAGAGTTGGTTGTCCGATGCAATAGTGGCTAATTTGAAGTAGGGATGCTCGGTATTTTTCCCAAGGTGATACGTTCTCAGAAAGCTGGAAGCAAGGGCAGGCACTTTGACACGGAGCGGCAATGCTATAATGATAACCTGTCACGAGACTCGATCACAAATCTCCAACTATGACCGAGCCCTTCGAACACTACAGCAAAAGCTTGACGCGGCTGAAGCCTATCGAGAGGTCAGGAAAGGATCTGTTGGAGAAATGATGGTGACACTGCCGCCTTAGGAAGAGAAGTTGGAGTTTTCTGACTGGCTTAAAACGGTGAAAAGCGAGGAGGAAATACAGGAGTAAGAAATGACAACTGTTGTTGAAGTTAAATTGGTTGTAATCTGGCAGGTATCATGAATACAATCGTAAACGGCGAGATCGAGACAAGCAGCATCGGAAGATGAAGAAGGAGCTCAAGTTCTGACGATCACTAAGCTTACGGCATGCTCGATACGGTTTCTGGCACACTATGGTTGAGCTTTACTCAATGTTATCGTCTTGCCTGTTGATGTTCTCATTATGGAAGGCTTCGATATTCGTCGACGTCTGAGCTGGTTGTAAGGTACAGGCTGTTCATGCGTACGCGTGCAGATTCGTATCATTTACTTCAACACAACTCCAAGACGCCTATTGATCAGTGATTGACGGTTGACAACAGTTTTGCATATTCTTCATGTTGTCTCGTGCCGTTCTCGCATCTCGATCGCTGGTATCAGCAGCAGTCGTCAGTCGACCTTCAATGGTCCGAGCATTCTCATCTGTTCCGGCTGGATGCCCTGGGGCTATCAGTGGACCTGTTTGCTATGAGGATGATATTGCGCATGTTCAGGTGGGAACTCCATTCAATATAGTAGAACTCAACAAGCGCTTTTACAGGTGAATAATGGGTATAGTAAGAAGTACGCTGATGGTTGGGAACGCATCTTTGGCAAGGCCAAAGGAGACAAACAAGCTGTCAAGAAATAGGAAAACCTCCTATGTGATATTGTAACTGTTATATTCATCCTGTTCCTGATCTCTCCAAGTGCCATGCTTGTGTAATAGTTAATCGTCTGGTCGTATGTTTCCAGTTTCTCTTTACGATGGGCTCAAAGGTGGTAGGGGTCCCTCTATACTTATCCAAGGCATTGCTGATGGCTGTAGAGTGTGAACCAAACCGTTATAGAAATCACTTTATTGGAGATAACATGCTCAATTAGGAGGGTTTATCGATGACCTTTGAGAGGCATAATGATAATAACAGTCAAGACCATGGTCACAAACCCATTCGCCATCCACTGCTAAATTTTGCGGCGCTAAAGGGACCCTGTTGACCGATTAATGCTTGCAAGGTGGCATCCAGCCTACCTCCGTGTGTGCGAACTGTAGGCTGAGCATTGAAGCTCGTGGTCTACATGTCGTTATCTTGTCGCCGGTTACATCCTTCGACCAGCGAATCGGCTATGTTCCTGGTGGGAGTGTGCGAAGTATTATTATTGATTCCGACGAACGTACACATGTTGTTGAACAAGACTCCACTAGCACTGCCTCCTCTGCTACGAAGACTACGTAACGTAGTTATCACTTGTGAATCCTTACATGCTCCCACTATCACAACAGAGTTACGATTTCAGTTAGCAACTCGAATGTACCAATGTATATGGAAGTCGTCGACCAACGACGACTTGTGATAGGCGCCGGTTTCTAGGGTTGTAGAACGTAGATAGGTTCTTATATGGTCAATGAAGAAATAGAAGTCTACTTACGAGCTCCCTGATCCCCTTCCATTGAAACCCAATAGGTCTACCATTACGGTTAGAACAGCTTCCAGCTGGGCAATGCGTGCTAGGAGATAGCCGAATGATAGTTCTGTGTGATAACAACTTGAGATTATTGAATGGAATAACGGTACGACGAAGGCTCCAGCGCAAGCCGAAACCAAAATAATGAAATGAAGGGGCTCTGGTGTCGACCTTGGCGGATGGGGAATCCGAAGTAAAGACGACAAAGTCCCCAACCAGAATCTGGACATGTCCGGTCATCAACTTGGTAGCAGTAGTGAGTAGCAACGAGATTGTCATCGCGGTTTGACCGCGTAGGCCTCCTTCTAAGGCTATACTCAATCATAAGCTTGGCAGTAGTAGTCAAAAATGAAATGAAGTTTATCATATTCATATCAATCAAGTACAACAACACTTCTCACGTTCCTATTTGGCTCCAGCCTTGACCTCCTTGGACTGATGAGCAAATATATCACCATCGTCGGCCGCCGCCATCCATTCTTTTGGAGCCTCCTCTGACTCTGAGGGGAAGAAGCAGTACTTCAACTATTGTACACGATATTGAGTAACATCGCGAGGAACTGTACTCAACCGACCTGGTCAGGTGTACTGATCGTCGGCACCAGAGTTTGACTGAGGATTTCGAAACGATTCGCCAAGGGTGAATACGTGATAAGGGTCGATGTGTTTCAAGGCAGAAGCAAACGAAAAACTACTGATTCACGAATCGCCAGACGTGGTAGTGGAGTTTTCCGGATAGCTTACTGAACATGTTGCGATCAAAATCGCCAGAATCTTCGAATCTGGCCGCCGTGAGACGTGCATCACCGTCATAATTGCTGCTCTTATAGCTTCCGGGATGAGTCCTGCCAGACACAATAGTTGACATAAAAGTGGATTCGTAAAGAGAGCAGTGCCTTTCCTTTAGGGAGTGCTTGAGCACATTGTCCACCTTTCCCCATTGCCAAGTCTCGCCGTTATCTGTCCCTCCAGAGGTAGCCAGCCGAGTGTTTCCCGACAGCGGATCGTAGTAGTGGTAGGCGGACTCCTCCTTCTCGGTGGTCTCCTGAATGCCACTTCCCGGGACCTAACGCAGACACTGTCCAAAGGCATGGGGAACGAATTCGTCCTACATTGTCGAGGTTGTCTATGTCGGCCCCCATGTCGAGATCCTCATCGAGGAAATAGGTGTTATGGGCTGTACTGAACTTGCTACCGATCGTGCCAGGTTTTTTAGCCGTCGGATTGGAGCTCGCCACTGCGTCCATCTTCCGTTCAATAGAGGCCTCCGGAACTGTTTCTTTGGTCGTCGGAGTTACCGAGGAGGAAGGAGGGTTGAAATGGGATTCAATCTCGTCCATGGACCTGTCGAATCCCGTGCTCTTTGAGAACAGTAGCCCACTCAAGGGAATTTACTTCTTCCTGATTCGGTCATGCTCCTCCAGGGTCCAGTCACAAGAGCCTCTACCATAAGGGTAGAAATGATACTTTTCCTCAGAGATGTTCCCGCCACTGTTGATGTCTTCTTCCTCGTTGCCATCCATATTGGTAGGGTTGACCTTGCACAAGCTACCGTCCGACTGGGAGGTCCCCCAAGCCTACGTTATCAAACTGCCCGCTCATACGTCTACTCGCTTCAGGAGACGGAACTTGCACTGACATGCAGTGAATAGCTAAAGAAAGTTTGCACGCATGCACACGCTGCAACCCACTTTACACTACACACGGATCATGCCCCTCGCGAACACCATCAACACGGCTCCGAACACACATCCGTCGACTACTGCAGCCCCATATAAGGCTACAGTCTTGAAGGACGTCTGTGCAGTAACACAGACGAGGTAAGAGGAAGGAAACACTATTCAGTCGAAATGGCAGCTATCACCCGGCGCCACTTCAATAAGCGTCCGCCGTTGACGTGCATATGGAAATGCCACACATTCTAACGAGCATTAACTCCATCATAGCGAGGCGATACTCATCTAGCCTGGCACCTCACTTCATGAAACTGACCATTTCAACCACTGAGTCGACTAGAAACACAACAAAAAGTATTTCGGTTGGCATACACCATCACTGAGTTGAAAAACTCACAGGCTCCCTTCAGCCGACTAACATGATTCTACTAATAACACTTGCCCGACTATCACTTAATAAAAATATGCTTATCGAAGATACCAACCTTATGCTCAATACTTGCTATAATGATGTTCATTGATACGATAAAAGGAGTCGAAAACACGTTGTCACAATAATCACAACTTGGATCTAGCCAAGCCCTTATCAGCGACGACTCTAACGTTGGACTCCTGCATGTGGCTACTTGCCGATCTGCCGGCCACACGGCCGAAGACAACACAGTCCAACAAAGAGCTGCCACCAAGACGGTTCTTGCCGTGGATGCCACCATTGACCTCACCAGCTCCGAAGAGGCCCTCGATGGGCTTGTCCTGCCTGAGGACGCGGGCATCAGTGTCGACCTTCAAGCCACCCATACAGTAGTGGATGACAGGCGTCACGATAGCGACGTGGAAAGAGTCGTTGATATCAGTAGGGGTATTATGGTAAAACTTTTTACCCCATTTATCATAGCTCTTGCCGCTAGGGTAAGCTGGGTAGCTGCCACCCTCGGGATCCTGCGCCATTTTCACTGCACATTCGTTATTAACCCTGAAACTGTCCTCCAGCACCTTGGGGTCAATACCAGTATCAGCACAGAGATCGCGGCCCGACTTGTAAAACTTCATGAGGCCTCTGCCTTTGTAGTGCTTGCAGTGCCACTCGATCTCCTTCGAAGCCTTTGAGTTCAAAAGTAGACGGAACGGTCCTTTATTCTTCCACATCTCTCCGGTAACATAGTCTCTACGACCAAGCTCATTACAGAATCGTCTACCATGGGCATCAATAAGGAGACCACCAACACCACGGAGAGCCTCGGCAGCCAGGAACTTGACCTTATTGTCGGGTTCATCAGGGTGGACCAGACCAGTCGGATGTACCTACAAAATGAAGCTGATAGAAACTCATCAAGGGAGTGAGCTCACCTGAACCCACTCCAGATCGACTGTCTCCCCCCCTATAGCCTGGGCCATCTTAATGCCATCACCAGTAGTATGCTCTCCATTGGTAGTTGGCAAATGAGCCAGATCTGGCCTATACTGCTTCAATAGAGAGCCATCGGTAAAGTCAGCACCAAAGCCGCCGGTAGCCAAGACCACGGCCCCAAACAGTTCATGGGTCTTGCCGTCCTTAACGTACTCGCACCCAATCACTTCACCGGAGGCATCAGTCAGCAGCTTGTCAACCTTGGCCTTCATGATCATCTTAGCTCGAGTTGGCTCCTTCTCACAAATTTCCTCAAGTTTCTCCATAAGAGCATAAGTAATTGTCATACCAGGAAAACGAGCCTTTCCGCGATGGGTACGCTCCATAGAGTGGCCGCCAAGTCTCGAAAGCAATGACAAGTCAAGGCCGAATCGGTCAATGAGCCAATCGACGCCATCAGCGCTCTCGTGGGTCAAAACCTTGATGAGATCGGGCCGCTCAGCACCACCTCTGAGGGAATCCTTCTCGAAGAGTTCCGGGCTGTCAGGAATGCCCTGCTTCCTTTGAGTGGCGGTCAGTGCCCCGTTGATACCAGAAGTGGCCTTGGTAGAGTTACCACCACAGAATGACATCTTGTCAAGGAGTATGACACGTCCACCACGCTCGAGGACGGTATGAGCAGCGGAAAGGCCAGCGAGGCCTCCACCAACGACAATAACGTGTTCCATATTAGTGGATAAAAAGCGTATTCGCCTGAGTACTCAGCAACTAGGTGAGCTACGAGGTATTTTGGTAGAACTCCTACGAGGAACACTGAGCGATTGTGCAGTGCATACGAACACAATTACGAACCATACGTGAACGGTAACACAAGCATCCCGAGGACATACCTACAGGGACTATAGTACAAGTAAATGCACCGAGTGACCTGCACGCATGCACACGATAACCAAGGCGTGGCGAGACCTAGCGTGTGGTGTGAACTCAACAGGCATATTCAAGTAGTGGTGGTATTATTATGATATAGGCTTTATCGTAGGGTGTTGATAGAGTACTCCAATGATACATATGATGATACGCAGTACTACTGCAGCAGTAGACTAGAAGCGGGTGGGGACGAGAACGACAACAACAACAACGATGGTGGTGGTATCAGCACTACACGCTTGATTCTAATAAATGTAATCATTATGAAGGCGACGGAGAAAATGGGATACCCCGATACGATAGGTCGTCAATCAATCGTTCAATAAATGATAGCAATACTATGTACGATTTAGTTGCACTTGCAGCAGATGTAATTGTTGCGAATAGAGAATAGTGATCGTGATGTAGCACAACTACCATCAACAACAGCGTGGAATCTATCACACAAGTCGATCAGAGACCGGAACCCGATGGGGCATTAGGGTTCTCATGAGCAGCAGCAGTAGTAGTAGTAGGCGGCGGTCTCGGTGCTGGTGGCGCAGATGCCTTAGATGGTACAGCCTTGGGCAGAATAGAAGTACCCCCACTGACCGCATTGCCGTAATAGAACTGCTGGTATGGCGAGCGCTGCTGTTGCTGATGTTGCTGTAGGGACGCTGTGGTAGTAGTAGAGGGCCCTTGCTGGGCTCGTACACCAGGAGCCTTCGGTGTAGCCGCCGTACTGTACTGCGATCTATTATTGGCAAATATATTCTGCAGCATATTCTGAATGGCGGGCATAGAAGTGGTACCAGAGGGTACTCCTCCTGCTGCTGCAGCAGCACTAGCAGAACCCGGAGACGAAGGAGATGGCCCTGTAGGTGTCATACCTCCAGGACGCCGCATAGGACCAGTAGCACCATGAGTGAACTGTGTGAGTAGCCGCTGATACAACTGATGTAAGTTACCAAGATTGGCCCTACCGAGTGCAGCAGCAGCTGCAGCAGCAGCATTTTGATTGCCAGCTTGCTGACCCGCCACGGTTGACTGTGTGCTTGGGGAAGCTGCTTGTTGTTGTTGAGCTTGTTGTTGAGCAAGCATAGACTGTAACAAGTTTTGCACTGTAGCTTGCGGCATCTTAGGCATAGCCCCCGTAGCTACTGTGCCCAATCCTTGACCAGGGAATCGTTGTGCAGCCGGGGATGGCGCCTTGCCTCCGCCTAGATCCACCTTCAGCTGTTGTTGCTGATTCTGTAAGCCAATCGTAGGTTGCATCTGGCCACGCTTGGGCATAATGTACTGCTGCATAGGTTGTTGCTGTCCAGTGCCGCCGTCCTGAGTCACGACCCCTGCTGCAGCAGCAGCATTACGTAGTTGCAGCAATTGAGCTAGATGCTGCGGTTGTTGTTGTTGCTGCTGCTGCGGACTAGCTGTTGCCGCTACCCTCTGATACGCACCGCTAGGAGTAGCTTTCCCCATAACGAAACCACCAGCTTGGTGCTGCTGCCGTTGCACTGGTGTAAACTGATGCGATGGCGCCTGACCAATCATGTGGGGACCGCTTGGCCGGCTCGTCGCCATCGGCAACATTGTCACCTTCGTCCTCCTATAATTCTCAGGAATCGGCTGCTTCGTCGGAGCCACCTGAAGAAGCCAACACTGAAGTCCATCCTAGAGGGTGCATACTATTACATGAATACCACTACCATTATCTGGCATCTGCTCTTTCATCCTCTTTGCAGCATACGTCAACAACTTCATAGCTTCTGGCCCAATACACGAGCTCAGCTGTTTCACAGGCGCGCCCTTAGTCGAGGCAGCAGCATATCGCTGCAATGCAAGCAATGCATTAGCATGAGCATTCCTCAATGCTAAGGGAGAGGCCGGCGACCCCAATGGAGGAGCTTCCCATTGGAAGACTCTCATCTCCCGGCATTCAGTAGCACGTCTCCTTCGAGCAACTCCCATCGAAGTGACCGCATTACTGAGCCATCGACAGGAGTTCTGATGGCTCACAGTAGCTATGTACTCATCCCAAGCCTTGAGTGCCTCTGAGAAGCTCACTGGTGTTGCCACACGGGATACAGATGATCGTATGGCGATACTGCAAGGACGCCGCCTCCTTCTCCTCCCATGCGGCGGTGGTGATAATATACTGTTAGCTGTCGAAGCCTTCTGTATGCACTTACGCACCTTAGGGAGCCTCCAATGTACTTGACCGACACTTCTCCCTGCCGATTCACCAGCTTGCCTCCGTCGCCGAACAAGTGCAGAGGGTACCGATTTGGTCGGATAGAACGCAGCAAACGTAGGGGTAGTGAGCCCCCTACGATAGTGGAACAACTCCAAGGCATCCTCCTGACCATGCAAAGACTTCTCCAGTGTTCGATCGTCCACGTCCGTCAAAGCTTGCTCAACTGCAGTTGGAGTGGTATCACTGAGCTGGGCGGCCGAGTGGTCCCGAACTATGCGAACATCTAATGGTGTGCCAACCTGCCTCTGCTTTTCCCCTGCCATACCTTCCATAGAACCACGCCATCTCGTACCGGCAGGGGGAATCATAGGCCGTTCCGTAAGCATCTCATTAGCACGTCTTAGACAGGCACCACTAGAGCGTAGTTTGTCGTGACCAGCGATGCCTTCCATGGCACACCGAATACCGATCTCAACCGTCCGCCAGCTAACGCCATGGGTCAGCCCACTGGCCAAGTCCAACGAGTCCTCCTGTAGATTGGCAGCGACACTGCTACGAAGGACCTCTCTCCGTCGTTCCGCTATGAAGTGAGTAGATGAGCTTTTGTGGTCGAAGCATCGTGGCAAGGAGCGTGCCGAAGCTGCCAATAGTAAAAGACTCTCCTTCTCCTCCCAAACCTGGGCGAGCATACCAATACCTTGTAGTTGTAGTTGTAGTTGTGGCTGCTGCTGCTGCGGAGCTACTGCTGCTGCTGCAGGTGTCGCCGCCTTTCTAGACCGTGGTGTAGCCTTCGCCTTGGCAACTACTACTGAGGAAGTGCTACATGGAGTCTTTACCACCGACTCCTGATCCCCAATAGGGTGGGTGGACATCTCTCTGACCATCGCCGTGAAGAGTGCTGGTAACCGTGCTCGAGCTGCCTCCGAAAACTGCATCTCATGCATAAGTGTACGTTGATTACTCAACAGCTCGTTCATCCGCAGCCTAGGCTCCGCACCAGGGTCCGGGAAGTCCACTACTCCCGGCACGAACACTGTACTACAAACAACAGCGTCATCATCGTCAGCATCACCAACCAAGGTGGGTGGCCGAGGTGTAGCCGTGCTGCTACTAGTGCTACTACTGGTCGCCCAAGTCGACTGTATCGGAGGACCTTTGTCAGACATCCACACCGCTGATGCATCATTAAGCCGGTCTATGATATCACGCAATGGGTCGATAGAAGCCCTCGCCTCGGCGGCATTGGAGTACTGAGATCCTTCATCGGAAGATACACCATCACCTCCATGGTCCATCATCGTAGTGTCACCATCATCACCATCGTCTTCTATAGGGTCTTCAGTGAGTGCCCCTGTTGCCTGTAGTTGATGCCGCTGCGATGTAGCAGTGCCGTTTGGCATCTTATCCAACCTCACATGTTTACCTCCACCCCGCTCCTGTTGGTGCGTCCGTAACCGCCAATACTCCTTCACTGCTGATGCTATTCGCCGACATTGGGCTTGCTTGAGATCCCTCAACCCTACCACATCCGCATGCACCCACTTCATTTCAGCCAATATCTGGTCATGCTGACCAGGCAAGAGACCAGTAGTTAAGTCAGGACCAGTGTACAATTTGGCGCCGAGGTAACCGCGCTCCAACAGTATCCGACCCATCTCCCCATCTCGATTTACAGCCTCTCGCATCTCCACTGTAGGCTTATCGTTAACAGTGGACCTCATCGTGCTACCGCCCGCCCGCCCAGAGCTCTGATGACGAGCCCGTTTCCGCTTGTGATGGCTGGCCGTCGCCGTCGCCGCCGCCGATGACTGCGCCATGTAGATTAATGACGGCCAATCGTAGGCTTACCACAGGACGATATTAGCAACAAAAACGATAACGCAACAGGCTATTTAAAAATAAAGAAGTAATAGGGCATGCGTTTATCCCACATACATACCGTATAGTTTACGGTTACAGATTATCCAACAGGATATGGACACTGCCAGTACGACATTATCGTGCTGGTAGGACTTTTGACACTATATTAAAACATGATATATACATAGGTCAGTACTTAATCCCTCTCTAGTACCATACTGGTCATCATCATAATCACAATCTTGTCATGCCAACTAAGGTTACGTCTACGAACCGAACAGAACGTGGTAACTGAAACCATAGCAGCGATGTCACCCATAGCCATTACCGTATACGAGTGCACTATAAACGGACGATTATGCAGTGGGAGAATCCTGCGCCGTGAAGTTCGCCCCCACATTTTTTGCTGTGTATCATGCATAACTTCCTACTACCAGTCTTGGCAATACATTCGACGATTACAACACGATCTGTACAAGAGTATTGAATACTAGAGAGAACAGCATAATGTAATATGCACATCGCGCGGAATTTTCCGACGGTTTTGGGCCAGAAAACCGAAACGAAATAAACACACTGAAGTATGGCAAAAATATAATAACTTTTTGAGTAGTCCCCTAGAGAAGTATTCCTAACGTAGTCATGTGTAAAGACATTTCACATTTAGAGCCCTAAAATCCATGATATCGGTAGAAATTCGCGATATTCGACCGCAGTAGAGACAGTGGCATTGATGAGGTAATTTTTCGAGAACATTCCACAGCACCGCTCCGCCAAAAATACTAGCGCTCGCCCGACAACCGGCAATCTAATTATTTCATGGGGGCGTGCCATGAAATGAAGATGGCTACTACTCGGTGATGGGAGCCTGAACACTGTCATTGTAGTATGACTAGAGAAGTTTCCGAGGCAATGTCTGGCACTACCGGTGCCGTCCCGTCATCGTCGGCGTCGTCACTAGATCAGGTGGCTCACTTACCGTCACATAGGGCTCAGGTGGATTCTGGTACCACATCATCTTCAATTAGCATCAATTCTGATGAGGAGCTATGCTCAAGTAGTAGTGGTGCTACCACGCCTCTCCCATCATCTTCTTACTACGATATCCAGTCTCAACATCCATTAGAGCACACCTGGAGCTTCTGGCTCATGTATCAGGCACAGACTAAAGTAGTAGTGTGAGTAGTCGATGTAGTCATTGTTGATTGCAGGATAAGAAGGACAACTGGAAAGGTACTCAGAAGCGGGTATTGGATTTTACCTCTGTAGAGGACTTTTGGCGAGTATTCAACAACGTATCTTCGCCTAGCCGACTGACCTATGCTGACTATAGTGTATTCCGGCAAGGCATTGCCCCGATGTGGGAGGATGAGACATGTGCCAAGGGCGGCCGATGGGTAGTCTCAGTAGATCGACCTAATAGGAGGGGAGCAACTTCGGAACACCAAAAAGAGGTATGTTGCAGTATTAGTCTGCTACTGTGGGCATTTGGGTTTTGTGGTGTTCAGAGTATCGATGAATCATGGTTAAATATATTGTTGTCGTTAATCGGCAGTGTTTATCCCAACCGTGACACTGGAGTGGATGCAGTATGTGGTGCTGTGTGTTCCGTCAGGAAGTATAATATACGTCTAGCGTTATGGATAGGGACCTCAGATAAGGATGAGGTCTTGCGATTGGGAAGCCTCTTCAGAGACGCTATTGCGTGAGTAATTCCTCTGTTGGATCTGCAGCATCATCAACATCTCAGGCCGTTGTTTGCCTCTTCGGGCTCATCTATGGAGGATAACTTGGAGGGTAGCAGAGCCGATAAGCTCCAAGAAACTGCCAGTCGGCGGCTTCCCTCGAACATGTCGTTCGAGTACTTTACTAGGGACCCTTCCCATGTTTCATTAGAGCTCTCTCTAACCACTAAGACGGATGATGAGGAGGAGAATGGCGACAAGGGCGGCGTTGACGATGATACGCCCAAGGCCTAGCTGAAAAGTCTACCGTTATAAACTCGGTTTGCTGTGCTCAGGATTTTCCTTTCTAGTGTGTACAACACTTCCAACAACAAGAAAAACAACAGCATCATCACCTTTCTCCTGACAACAACAACCTCGTCGTTTCCCCGTGTACTATCTTCCTCGGCTATTACCCCAACTATCATCTTCATCGTCGTGGTCGCTTCACGCCTCGTGTTATACCACTTAAGTATGTTATCGACCGTGATTGTTGTGAGGTATTTGTTGTTGTTATTGTCAACTCCTGCTATCTAGTATCACTTAATCCGTACTAAGCTAATAAGGCGTACCGCTGTAATCGCTATAGACTATTGACCGTTCCTCTTTGTGGTATACACACTTGCCTCGTCAGTCGAGTGAGGGCTCCAGTGGTAGTAGTTGTAGTAGATTATGATGATGACAGGTGAATATTAGTGATGTTGGATTGGCTCCCCTCCTCACCATTTCCTAATCTCCCCCTGTCGTGTTATACCTTTCCTACTTTATATGATACTCCAGTGGCTTCATCACGGTGTCGACTATGGCTACTGCGAATTCTGGGCAGGCGCCTGGGGAATCATCGAGGCCTCGAGAACACCAACGCGAAGGCCGGCAACGGAAGCAGTATGACAATGATCTTATTCAGCAACGGATACGGGCGTGGCAGCCTCTCCTCAGCCCTAAGTGAGTTCCATTTTCTATCCTTACTATTCTTACCTGTGTTTTCCCCTTTAGATGGGTCATTGCTACCTTCATAGCGTTTGCTGCAGCCTTCATTGGAATAGGCATCGGCCTGGTCGAGGTAGGCCCTAAGGGGCATGGGTGGTTATGTACTTCATTTAGGCGGACAAGAGTACCAACGAGCTAAAGGTGGATTACACTAGCATCGCTAACGGAGGGCTCTTCCCCGTGAATATCGTGGTCAATGCTGACATGAAAGCCCCCATATATGTGTAAGTGAATTTATCTTGGGATTTTCTCACCTTTTTTAGGACGTGTCGTGGCGATTCAGGTACTATGAACTCACGAATTTTTACCAGAATCATAGGCGTTATATAGCGTCTCGGGATTACTCGCAACTTGCAAGTTAGTGAAGACTACGACAAGCACAATGGAAACTTACCTTTATTTAGGTCCTGGTAGTGTTTCTACGAGTCGTGGTGCTAATGGTGGCTGCAGTCCGTGGGAACGAGATGGATTTGAACGAAAGTGAGATGCTAGGATGATGGTGACTCGCTGGACTTTGGTGGCTCCTATGTGTAGTAACTACCCATGCGGGCTGATCGCGCGGTCTACCTTCAACGATTCCTACATCATCGACACTAAACGCATCGGATCTGTAGTGTGGGAGAGGACTAATGTTACCGAGGTGATGAGTTGATTCCGCCACCGTCTAGCTGTGGATGACATTACCTTATTGCAGACCAATACTGTAATAGCCTGGGAGGATGATGTGAAGTATAAGTTTGATAACCTCGATCCGGAGGGCTTCATTGATGAGGGAGTACAGAATCAGGTGTCTCTGAATATGTGGCTCAACTTTTACTTTCCTCCCCAAGTTTGTGTAAGTGCAACTGTTGATCGTCATTGAAATTGTGATGTTATTAAGGTACCAATAGCTGCACGAGAGAACTCTTCTGAGTACAAGCAAATATACGTCATGAGTGCTACTGCTGACTCGGCCACCAACCATACAGCCTGCGCCAACTACATGACGGATCAAGCCTCATGTAAATTCACTTTGGTAGGGGAGAATTTCAATCTGTCATGAGTCTTGGAGTGGCTTGGCTAGGTGCCCGGTGGTGTTGAGGGTGTTGATCCGGAGTTTGCGTGTAGTGCGGCAGAAGGATACGAGAGGAAACTCAACCCGGCTGGCTGGGGTCTTCTCAACGGTCGTTTCATTGGGTGGATGAGGCCTGCTGGTTTGCCAACGTTCAGGAAGATGTATGCCCGGATAGATGACGACTTGAAAGTTGGTTGTGTGTGTTAGCTTCATCTTATTATTCTATTCAGGTTGGTGATGTTCTCCGACTCACAGTGTCAGACCATTTCCCTACAGCCCAGTACGACGGTACTAAAAGCATCGTCATTGCTACTACCACTTGGGCTGGCGGCAAGAATGGCATATTGGGGTACTCCTACATCGTTGTGGGTGTTGTCTGCGGTGTATTCGCAATAGTATTTGCTATCACTTATCTCCGCAAGAAAAACAGACTGGGCGATTCAGACTACCTCAGCTGGGGTGAGCAGTAGAGGCAATTCTTCACCTTGTACCATCGTATAGTTCCATATGATTTTTGTACTACAACAAGGATTGCTGCTGTAGTGATGGCCTCCCTCCTAGTGCTGTTTACATTGTCGCACATGCTATTGTAGTGTAATAGTTCATAGTAAGATTTCGTCGAGATGAAGATGGGTTGCGTGGTGTTTGGGTGTGTAGCATCATTTAGGTGCCTCGTAACTTTTTCATCTATCCATGGGATTCAACGAACTCATCACAGACAAGTCCAATCCTGTCGGGTATATCAACACGGGGTTGCGTGAGTTCGCAATAGACTCCAGGAGGCTCATCCAGAAATGCGAGAAGCCTGATGCTAAGGGTAGGAGGTCATTTGGCAGGTTGAGCTTTTGCTCACCTTTGGTTGTGCTCAGAATTCAAGAAGATGGCGTCAGCGTGCTTCATCGGCTTCTGCATCATGGGGTTCATCGGATACAGTATCAAGTTGGTCTTCATCCCCATCAATAACATCATCATGGGCTCCTAAGTACATGTATAGTTGATGATAGTGAAGTGGTGACGGATTCACATCGCACTGCGTTTTTACGGGGCTTTAGTGATGGTATTTGGACTCCTCCCTGCTGATGCTGCTGCTGCCTTGTCTGTGACACTATCATCTATGTTGTTTCCTGTTGGCTATCTCGAAGGGCTGATCAGCACTGCTAAGTAGCACTGTAGCATCGTTGGAGGCTTGAGTTGGTAGTATGAGTCAATACAAGCTACACGGTGTCCAGTTGGAGATCGATGAGCCTCATTCCGTTTCTGGGCGCGGATGCTAACGACCGTTAAGTCTTCGCGTAGAGCCTTTTCTGGTGCTGCACTGAGTGCGGGCTTGGTGGACCGTAGACGTGTCGAGGTTAGAAGTGGCCAAGGAGGCGCAGGCCATGTGTCTTACATCAAGCACGTCAGTCCGAAGTTGTTCGGCCCTGGAGTCCCAGCGTGAGGCCTTCTTGGTGCCTATACCTTACAGTTGTCTTCCCAGAGGCGGCAATGGAGGTCGAGGGGGAGATGTGATTTTCAAGGCCGATCCTAATGTGATCTCCCTCACGAATGTGCCTCGTGTGGCAAGGGCCATGGATGGAGGGAAAGGCCGCAATAGGAAGTAGTGCTGATGGCATATGTCGGGTTTGAGTCGGTTGTTAGAATATCCGGCAAGAACGCATCCCCACTGGTGGTGAAGGTGCCTCTAGGCGTCGTAGTATCGACAGAGCCCCGGGAAGATCGGGAGAAGTCTGTCGTACTTGCTGACCTCAACAAGGCCGAGCAGTCTTATGTGAGTGCGAGTCAGCGATTATCGACAAGTATTGCGCAGACTGCCGCCTTTGGGGGAGCTGGTGGCCATGGCAATGTCGTTCTGGACCATCCGCATGACTTCACTGTTGGAGATTGTGGTGAAGTTAAACACCTTATACTGGAGCTCAAGTCTATAGCAGATGTGGGCCTAGTAGGGTTCCCAAATGCTGGTAGGCTGCTTGGTCGACTCCTACATAATTACGTGAGAATTGTGGTAGGGAAGTCGAGTTTGTTGAGAGCGCTCACTAAAGCGCGACCAAAAGTTGCATCTTATCCTTTTACAACCCTCGCACCACATCTAGGGACTCTTCGGTTCACTGACGACCAGGACGGTAGGGTAGTATCGACCGTAGTCTCTTACAGTTCATACAGGCGGCTATGTCATAGCTGATTTGCCCGGCCTCGTGGAAGGAGCTCACGACAACGTCGGTCTCGGTCATCAGTTCCTACGCCACATACAGAGGACAACAGCTCTGCTCTATGTGGTAGGGCTATTACCTCTACCGCAATCTGCTCCAAGTACACTAGGTCGACGGTTCCCTAGGAGCTGATGCAGCATTGAGCACCCTCAGAGCACTCCAGCTAGAAGTCAAACTATACTCTGGGGAGATGGCGGATCGCCCTTTCATAGTCCTCGTCAACAAGTGTGATGGTTTAGGTAAGGCCAGTACAGAGACAGCTCGTAGGTATACATAGGTTAGGCATCGAGCCAGCACTGGCAGCGGCAAACACCATCGATATGGAGCTCAGCAAGGAAGGGTTCAAAGATGCCGTGGTGGCCACAAGTGCCCTCATGGGTTTCAGCCTGGAACTGGTATGGCAACGGTTTGAACACAACCACTGTGACAACTTCAGGTGGCGCGTAAGATACGCCGACTTATGGAGGAAGCTTTCAAGCGCTTGGAGTTGCCCGACATTGACACTGACAATTCAACTGAGCATGATGTGGTTTCGGTTGTGGTTTCTTGATAGTAGACTGCATGTTAAGAGTTGGAGGTAGGGCCGCATGTTCCAGTAGGTTGTGTTCCCCCCATGCTCCATTGGAAACCTGGTGGATACTTTGGCGCTACCAACATAGAGGTTGTGGAGGAGTCCGATATAGAAGCATACTCGTGCTGTTCACCCTTCGCCCTGAGGAATACTCATCATACAGTTAATCGTAGCGCTGGGGAGAAAGCCTGCCAGGCGATTGGTAATATGGTAGGGTAATGGCTAGGGTGTAGATCCTCGTTTAGGCAGGCAGCTGATGCAGGCAGCCGGAGAGGCCGCCGATGACACTACCAAAACGTGTGTCGAGGGAGCCCTCAACTTCACCATATCCTTCTTTGAATCGACCAACCCCAATGCTTGTGTGCTTAGCTGTCATGTACGGCGCTCACTGTTGTTCCTCATAAACATCTTATCCCTCTTCCCCTATGGTGACGGTGTAGTCATGCCCTCTGTGAAGCTGATGGCGAAGGCGGTGGTGATTGTGGCCGTCCATATAGACCGCTATAGCTGCAGCCTTATGGATATATTCCTAGCCGAAACTGCTGATATTGTATATGCTTTGAAGGGCCTTCACCTACTACTACGAGAGAGTACCGATGCTTCAACAAGCCAGTCTCGACACGTCTATCCTCAATTCGTGTCGGCAGCCTATGAATCTATGAGGCCTCAGCAATCATCTCCCTGTAGCCCTGGGCCGGTGTCAATACAGTGGACCTTCAACTCCAAGAAGGCCTCTGCCGCTGCTATCACTGGGGTACTCTCAACGGTAGCTCGCCTCCTGAAAGTCCGTAGGGAATACCTCGGCTTCGACTCAGTCGCAAGTGGAGATGTCTTGACAAAGCTTCTCAGCTGTGTGCTAGCCCTCGTCCCCGAGCTGGGAGATGATTTTGAGGAGGACCTCTTGTCGGCGTGTTGGGAGTGTATTGGGGCTCTGCCGTGGCTACCTCCTAGTCGTGCTTTGGACGTCCTGGATTTGGTCGAATCTAGCGGTTGCCCTCCTATAGAGCACTCGGCAGAGATCGCGAGCCTGCTTATCCATTCCCTTCCAGACGGAGCACTAGTGTGTGAGCAAGGGATAGTGTGGAACATTGCGACCCAAGCTGGTTGGTGGAAGGATGCGCATTGCATGAAGGCTATGGCAGAGCTGTGCCGAAAGGCTGGACCCCTAGAGGTGGACGTTGCGGACATGCTCTTGCGACACTTGGGAGATATACCTCATGAGAGTGATGTTCAACGGGCCTTGACACAGCTCATCCGTGCCTCTGGTGTGCACTCAGAGGCTGGTCATTCACGTTGCTGCAGGCTATGCGAGTCAGTAGGGCCTCCTGGCTCCACGCCGTCGCTTTGGTGGTCCGAGGTTCTCATTGCGAGTGGTACTAAGATAACTGAGAAGGAGTTGACCCTTGCTACTACTGATGACAGCAGGGAATGGGGGGACATGCTCAAGCATGTTCGCTCACCTGCCTTGCGTGGAGAGGAGCCCATCTGGAGGTGTATAGCTGCTAGCCTTCTACATATGGGCTATATGAAGCTCAGCGATGGTGTTAGTAAAGAGAGTGTGGCTCGGCAGTTGCTGCAGATGCTCAACTCAGCTGATAGATCCCGAGCGACATGTAACGCTCATCTTATTTTCGCCACTGTTATTACTCTGTCCTTCGTGGAGGGTGCCTCTCGAGACCTCTTTGCCCACGACAACACCGATGGGGCATGGGCCTGCCTCAGTCCGTTATTCGGCCGGCCCACGGCCCATGATAAGCCTTCGGGCCGTTCAAGAACTGACAGTAGTTACCTTCGTGTCACACTGCCATGTATGGCGAGAGCAGCCACCAATGGTGTCAGTAGAGACAGCAGTGGTATTGGTAGTAAGCTTTCAACATCAGTTCTAGCGACAGCACGCGACCTCGTTGCTGGCTCCAAATGCGGCAAGTCATGCAGTTTGTGCCAGTTCGCCTATGGACAGGTCGTGAAACTGGTAGGTAAGCTCACTGGAGAGGTTGAACCTTATCGAGCTTTGGTGAACAGTAACCCGCGAGTAGTGTTGGACCGAGGAGAGGATAAGCTGCCACCGCCGCTGCCAGAGATATGCAAACCATTTATCTTACCAGCCCTCTTTGCCGCTCATATCAAAAGGTGCCGAATACGTTCTTTATACGATACTGCCGACATGGGCCAGGCTTATTTCCGCTCTGCCCTTATCCCCGCTCTGTCATCTCTATGGTATGGGGGGCGGCATGCTGTGTGCCTCCTATTGGATCTACCCTCAACTGTTACAAGGCTGCGGTCGGATAAGGAGATCGTCATGCCTCTGGTGGGGGAGTCCTTGGTACAGCTTATCTTGAACGCCCTTCTTGCCGAAGTCGAAGAGGATAACCTCAAGCACTATGTACTTCAGCTTGTACGCTTTCTGAGCCTTGATGATGATCCCAATGTCACCAACACCGGTGCCATGGAGGACCTCGTCACTGACTGCTTAGCGGAGGTCCTCGCCCATGGTGTCTTTGCCGTGCCCTTGGCCCAGATTCCTTCGGGCTCACTGGATTACGCAGTTATGAGGGTAGTCTTGGACATATATGGTGGACGTCATTGCTTGGACACTATCGTGGAGGCCGACTGTGGTGGTCTCCTCTTCATGGTCCTCTTGCGTTTCGCTCGGAGATTCCTCTATGGGACAGACTCGTTCGATACCATAAAGGCAGCTACCAGTGAGAAGGTGGATAAGATACTGGCCCACAGCGCTAGGATCATTGGCACCAAGGGTCGACTTTCGATGGCAGCCCATAGTGGAGGAGGAGGAGAGCCTCCGACTAAGAGGGCTCGTTCGAGTGTGAACGGAAGGACCCCTGACAAGGTGCACGCTATGAAGTGCTACTATCTCTACGTCCTCAAGCTCATCACCGATACATCCATAAAGGGCAGCGAAGAGTCCGCATGCTACTGTACAGCTTTAGCTCTGCTCTTGGACATCGCGAATGAGGAGGTACTGCAGCTGTACTGGTCTCAGAATCTCAATGCCGTTCACAAGCTCACTCTGAATGGTTCGCCCTGGCAGGCCTCGGAGGGCGAGGCCCTTCTACGTCCCTGGAAAAGTCTCTATCACCGTGCCCGACTTGAGGAAAAGCTAGCGATGCTGTCCACATATATGGTCGAACTACCCAGGGTGGGGTACGACCAAGCCCGCTCCTATGCTAAGGGGCTTCCTAAGCAGGTCATCACTGACCCGCATTTACGGATCATGTTTGGTGGTGACCACACACGTCTCGAGGAAGGGCAAGTGAAGACAGTACTATCCTATGTTTTCAAAGAGATAACGTACTCCCCTCCAAGGCCTGACTGCTGCATTGAGGGTATACTAGTGCTACTGGCGGACCTCCTCCTCTTCCATTATGCGGAGACGTGGAACGACCCTTATGGAGAGCTGGAGACGTTGGCCAACCAACTCGACAAGCACTTGACAGACCTGCTGCAACAACGTGATGCTGCAGCGGGTGGGACGTTGAGCATTGCTCTGGCCAGGGCCCTGGGCTCCTTAGGTCGCTGGAGGTACAACCCTGCTGTTATCGATCGCTGTTCTGTCACCAACCCGGGCCACCGAGCTAGAATAGGTATCGAGGATCCTCAGCAGGCTTGGTGTGACAACAGTAACGGTGAAGGTGTCGCCAAGGAGCTCGCCGTCCATCTCTTGCTGACCTACATTGTTCCCAAAATGGGCAGCGCTAAATACTCCTATTTAGCACAAGCCATCCTTACTGCCATGGGAGGTGGCAACTTCCTTGAATCTGCTGTTGCAGACGATCTACTAAGCAGAGTAGAGGCTGAAACCCTCTGGCCGTATCTCTCCACCTCTTACAAGGTAGCCTCTGCCACTGATGAGCGCGGTCTTGCCAAGGATGCTTCCCAGTGGACCGTCCAGACTTTGGCCAGATGGGTTGTCCGAGAGTTGCCTGGCACACAGAACAACACCGTTAAAGTCCGTCGACTCATGTTGTCTGTGGATCTTCTATTGAAGCAGTCCAGCACAGTAGCTTCAGAGGTATTGCCAACTCTAGTAGCTGCATTGCTGTACTCCAATAAGGATACCCATAAGATGCTGGAAAAGTTATTCCAGCATATGCAGGAAATTCTCGGGTCTAAGTCGGCAGAGCGGCCAGTGTTAGCTGTCATCATCGATATCTACGAGGTGGTCGAGTCTTGGGCCAGCAAACTCGGTAACGATAAGCTTAGCCAACGCTTGGCCCCACGACTACTGATACTATTGCAGCGAGATAGACAAGCTACGTACCTCTCCCTCTCTAAGGCAGCTGAGAGATGCGAGATGTGGTCTCATGCCCTTATGTTCATAGAGAAGGCCTACGCTCCACCGAGCACTACGGTTATGACTTCCGACGACTACGTCCATCTGGCTACGGTCTTTTCCAAGATGACTCCCGATGCAGGCTGGGTCGCGGCCAGCGAGGCCGGGGCATTGGCTGTTGCCAAGAAGCAAGACTCTGCCAAGATATGCTGTGATGGGGTGGCTGCTGATGGTGTTATGGATGACAACATGACTCTCCAACAGAGGGAGGAAAATTGGATCCGAAAGGCCGCCTTGTTGGGGAAGTGGTCGGTACCCACTGTGGAGTTGAAGGAGTCATCGACAGTAATAGATGCCCTTGTCAGCATTAAGGAGGGGAGTACTGCTTTCAACGTCACCAACGCCTATAAAGGTGTGGCTACCCAGCTGAGCCTCGGCAAGAGAGAATCGACACTGATGGAGCAGGAGTGTCGTCAGAAGGCCCGGACTCTATTTGATTTGGAATGGTGCCTTACCAATAGGAGCAGCCTTTGTCTACCGCAGACTCTACGCGTGCGTGTAGGGACGGAGGACGCTGACAAGACTGTGGGTAGGCCTGCAGTAGCGATGGCTGCGATTCGAGCTGTTGGTGGGAATCCTCAGCAGTTGAGCCACCTCCTATGGGAGCATCTCCATGCTTTACGACGAGCTGGGAGGTCTGAACTAGCAGAACGGGTTGGAATAGTGTGTCGGGCCCAACCGGAGATCTACCGCGAGAAGAGCGTCCTGTTCATGCTGGAGATGTCTAAGGTCTATCGAGATCTCGGGAAGATCAACAAGTCTCGCGAGGCCTTGGAAGATGTTGCACAGCTACTAGCAGGTCGGGGAGCTCAAGATGCCGACAAAGATGTGGCGTGGTGCGTGAAACTAGACAGATTGCGGTATAGCTGTTCTAAGAACCTTATGCAGCCGCGGGAGTCGATCCCAGTGTTCAGAGAGATCCTAGCAGAGGCAACAAGTCTACCTGCCAAGAGGAGGGCTCGAGGGCACTTTGCTTTTGCACAGTATCTCGATGGTTTGCTCGAGGAGGAAGCTAGATATCAGTCTGGCTTATCGAGAACTTTGTCTACCCAGAAGGTTCTGCAAGAGATCACAGTGCAGTACATGCTGGCCATACAGTTCGGCACCAAGCACGAGTTATTGGCACTGAATAGGATCCTGCGTATCATCTGGGATCAAGGCTCGGGTGCTCTCGTCAACTTAATCCCGAGAGAGTACTTACCGCACTATGAGAAGTGCATCGGTGACCTTTCGAAGCAGGTGAGGTTCATGTTCATGTAATCAACGACTTTGCTGTTGTCTCAGAAGAGCTCCAACCCTTCAGTGTCAGCCACGCAGATACTCGAGAACGCTAGCGACAGCAAGCCCTTGATAATACCCGAGATTTGGTCATCTCTCGAGACCCACACGCGGGACCTTTGTAAAGTCCTATTCGTCCGATGGCATCAGAGGACGGCCGATCAAGTTGGCTCGGTTATTCGGAACCTAGCGGAGCGATGCGAATCGGACCTCGAGATCCCGCTGCGTGTTTGGTTCACGGCATTGCCTCAACTGCTCGCGAGGCTTCACAATCCTGACGATCTTCGCACGCTGAGGATTCTCCACAGCTTCATGAAGCAAGCAAGATATCCGAAGGGAAGTACGAACTCCCTCCGGCTGGGCTTTTTGGAGAAGACCAAGACCTCTGGTGAGGAGGCTCACAACCTCACAGTCACCTTCGTGTGCAGTATCATTAGCAAACTCTTGGTGAAGTACCCCAGACAAGTAACGCAGTCATTTTGAGAAACTCCCTTCCACATATTTGCTTAGAGTCGATGGCACGTACTACCCTTTATTGTCAACCACACCAGTGGCGATCCGAACAGGAGTCGTAATGCTCCTCGGTTTTTCATCGATACGATGAAGGTTCTGCATGAGAAGGCTCTGCCTGCTGCAATTCAGGCCGATTCTCAGGGTGACCTTGGCACTTTCAATTGAGCTCTGAGATTGCTCTATTAGGTGTCGAACAGCATAAGATGCTTATACGAGAGCTCTGCAACTTGTGTATCGACACCAAATGTGAAGCCGGGGACGCCAACTTCTCGACGCTGGCTTCCTTTCCCAAGCTTCAGAGGCTTATACGGGGTGGCAGAGGCTCTCCTAAGATAGTTATACCACTACAGCAACACATCGGGTAGATCTGTATAGGAGCTGTTGTCGCTATCAGTGTAGTTGTACTAGATACAACGCACGGTTGGATTGTGATGATGAAGATTCCGTAGTGGGTGTTGCCAGCTGGGGCCCGATGGTGAAAATTATGTCAAGTAAAGCAAAGCCGAAGAGGATAGTCATGTGTGGGACGGATGGCAGACAGTAAGGAGGTCGTGCCATGTTGATCACTCTTGAGTTTTTCTCACAAGGTATCCCTTTCTGGCCAAACAGGAATCCAACGGTGATATGCGCAAGGATGCTAGAATGATGGATTTGTTTACTATGATAAACCATAACCTAGATAGCCATTCCAAGGAAAGTCGTAATGCTAACGATGGCGAAGAGCCAAGAAGCAGTCTTCTCAAGGGAGTAGGCATGTGGCTATTGAGCGTTCAGCAATACGTGTCTCCTTTTCAGGTTAAACTGCGAACATATGCTGTGATATGTTTGTCGAGTGCCGCTGCTCTGATCGAATGGATGACGGGTTTCCAGACTATGCGAGAATGTATTTCGACAGCAGCTGCGAGAGTTATAGAAGAAGAGTCTCCTTTCGTGAAGTTGCTCAATACGCGGGTTAGGGATGACATTTTAGCGCCTAATGGGGCGACGGCATTCGCAAGGTTGTTGCGTGAGAACCCTCCTGTGTTGCAGCATTGGTACTTCGCACTCGCCCGCGATGCTGATCATTGGCTGAATATACGCAATAGGTTTATCGCCACACAAGCCCTTTGGTGTATGGTTGGGTATATCATCGGTCTCGGTGATAGGCATTGCGAGAATATAATGTTGAGCGATGTGGATGGAGAACTCACTCATGTAGATTTTGATTGTATATTCGACGCTGGTCACAAGCTGAAAGTGCCAGAAGTGGTGCCATTTAGGCTGACCAGCAACTGTGTTAGTGCCATGGGTGCTAATGGTGTCGAAGGGCCATTCCGCTGGGTGTGTGTTGAAGCAATGTCAGTGCTGCGAGCTCATAAGAAAACTCTTCTATCTGTGATGTTTTCCTTTGTTGCGGATCCCGTAACTCAATGGGCTACAGCAGCTAGAACCAAGCAGTTCTCATTACGTGGGGGTAAAACTGAGGCCAACTTGGTAGTGGCACGTGCCAGCGATAACGCAGATAGGACGGTGAAGGAGGTGGAACAAAAGTTGTCCGGCGTAGTGTTCCTCGCCAGAGCTGTTACTTCTGATGGCAGTCACGATGGGGGTGCTCAAGATCCTCTGCTGCTCCCTAACGACTTTCAAGGGGATTTCCGAGGGGCGAGTCTCAGCGTTGAAGGGCAAGTTGACGAGCTAATTCGAGTTGCGACTAGCACGAAATATTTAATCCGCATGTACATCGGCTGGATGCCTCTCCTTTGAACAATTGACTTAACGTAATGTTTCATTTTTCATTCATAATTTCTGTTTAGTTTGCGAATCGTCTTTTCCTATAGCAGTGGTGTTTGTGGCTACGACAAATCTGACGAGTCGTTCACTGGCATAACACGCGTCTATCTCTGCGAAAATAGCAGCTTTGGCTGCACCGAGAGTTACTTCTTCGAACCTCGTTGCTCAACCACCTAATGAGGCACGTTCGGGCGGCGGATATACTTAGACGAGTTCATTCTGTGTCGATGTCTCGCATCTCAGGGGAACTAGCGGAAGCTTTCCAGGGGCAGGGGACCGTCCACTGATATTACTACGTCAGTATGATTCAAGCCGTGCACTACAAAATCGATGAGGACGTTGCAGGGCATGAAGAAATATATTCATGAAGAGTGGTGATCACGTGTTTTGTTCCCGATAGTCCCTCGTACGCCTACAATGAAAACCCTCTGACAGAAAGCGCTGTAGGCCTCACATTTGGTCGATGCCTAGGCAACATTTCCGAATACGAACATCTCGTGAAGAAAAACGTAATCGCAACTGTACACTGTGTGTGAGGATTGATAAAGAATGCATTGGCAAACACATTGCCTACGTCCAATCATCCACCATGTGTATGCATTGTGACCTTCACGAATGGATCGATGCTAGTCAGTGTTCTGTCAACTTTTTTCCAAGATTTAAGCATCCTACATAAACGGCCAACTATTATTCATGGGGTTATGACGGCGGCAAGGGCCGGACTTGGAGATGAAGCTGGGTTCCCCGCCGAGGCGGGAACCACCAGCTCTGCGGAAGCTTGTCAATTCGGTCTAGTGACTACACAACTTCGACTTGAGTTGAACCGACACCTCCTTTACACAACAGAGCTGGTCAGTCAGAACGTGCTTTGGAATGCAATTACCATTCAGAGGCATGGTTTCATAACATATCCTCTTCACAGTCGAAGAATTCCTCACTTTCTCGACTCGATGGCACCTCACCTGTCGCACTTCCGGCTACCTCGCGATGCTGTTGCCGGGTATTCAGCACTACTACCTGTGTGCTGCAGTAACTCTACGAACGTCAAGAGGTCCTACTACCTCGGAGCCTGGAGCCGTATCACTATCACTATGTGATATGCTGCTTCCTTGGATCGGGGCAGGGGTGCGAAAATTATCGACAACAACTCCTAGTGTAACATTATTCCCAGCGTACACCAGCATCCTTTCGCATGCCTGTAATAGCAACTGCTCCGGAGAACTTCGCAGGTCTGAACCCACGTTGACAAAAGAAGAGCAGTCCATGCTCTGTTCGTCCTTGAACAAAGGGATAGCCTTCTTTACCATTCTAACACATTCACCATACATACCACCCCAAAGGTACCTGCCTTCAAACTCCATCACGCCGCTGCAACATCCCACATTTCTGCCGCTAGCTTGTAATACACAGCAGCGTTACCGTCTTGTACCACGTTCTCCTCAATATTCCTTGTAGCTGCTTCCACGATAGGAATGTACTTCCGAAAGGCCAGTCTATTGACGTTCTCAACACCTACGAGCAAATCCCCTGCCTCACTATACTAGGAGTCCACCTTCCGTGTGAGTTTCGATGAGCTCATTGTGAACCTCCATGAGTACACAAATATCCACAGCATCCTTGACCGCCTCCAGAGCGTAACTACCAATGCTAGAGGGATCAATCGCATAATATCCAACTTTTCCAACGCTCTCTCAAAGTTCTCCCTGGCCTTTTCCCTATTCTTTCGCCTCCACAGTATCTTCCCTAGAGTGTGGGTAGAGCTCGCCACCAACGGAGAATCATCACCACATGTACGCTAGAAGGAGTGCGAAGTTCGCGATGGGATGAGCAGTATCAGCATACCTTGAAGATCTCAATGGCCTCTTCTGCGTACTCCTGAGCCTCAGCCAGATTGTTCAGATCCACGTAGCACTTGGCGACGCTCATGGCCGCCTTTGCTACCAGAGAGGAACCCCCGACTGCCAGGAACTTTTCCTGATACCACTAGCACTATACGATAGGCTCGAAGAAGCTGATGTACTCAACTGAGTAGAATTTATGTGCTTTCTTGCAAAACTCCAAGGCCTCCTCATTACGACCTCGACGCTCTAACACTATCCCAAGACCGAGGAAGACACCACCGAGATTACTGATGACGGGGAGCTTATAACCCTTACCATAGCCAGTGACTAAATATTCTACCTGTCGCTTTCAGTGCCACGACCCTCAGCTACTTGCTGTTCTATCAGGGATAATGCTTCTTTGAAGTACTGCTCTGCCTCCTCCAAGTTCCCCATTGAACTAAGGCAACTATGTTTCCAACCATGTTCTCACTCCATCACTAACCTATGAGTATGTCCGATATTCTCGCACAGCGCGGGGGACTTCCCAAGCATCTCCTCTATCTCCTTGAATAAGGCTAATGCCTCAGTGAGATTACCCTGCTTCCATCTCGTGAATGCGCATGCCTATGAAACTCCTCCCTATATTACAGCGAACCAGCTCCCAAGCTCACTTGCACTGCCTTCAGTTTAAAGGGATCACCAAGTTCTCGACACACAGGTAGGATCTCATCTAACTCCTTCTGACACTTCCTCAACCTATTATGACTATTAATGATCATCACCTTTGAGTGCGCTAACCTGTAAAGGCCGATCCAAACGTCGAACAACTTGAAGAAAGTAGAAAGAGTGATGGCGCTCTCGAGTCCCTTCTCCGCTTTCAAAGAGAAATACAGTTCCTCCAACTAAACCACGGTGGCCTCAGTCACTGACAAGGAACCTCAGTCTACTTGTTCTTCATTCTCGTACTGCGTCTCGACACGCTCAGGCTCCGTTACCAAACCAGAAGGGGAGAAGTTCCGGCCCCTACTACCAGCAGGCATTCCCATCTCCAGCGAGGCAACAACTTACTTGATATCCTCATATGTAAGTCTATGGTTGGATCCTTCGAGAGCAGCGGCATTCTCTCCCACTCTCGGGAGCTCAGACACTTCCGCACTCGCGCTCATTTCTGATGCTGTGCATTCGGAAGACTCTCCCGCCGTCATCCCTGAGACCTCAGCCCGATTGCCGTCCAAGAGTGATGATGACCCAGCCTCATCTGCAATCCCAGTCTCCTCCTTATCATGTACCGGAATCGTTTGTCCCTCCTTTCTGGTGGATCCCTCATCGCTCATTCTCTCGGATGACTCCGCCTCCTCTACTGCAGAAGAGTCTGCCTTCCAAACTCCAGGGAGTTCATCACTATTCAGCACCGTGGCATCTCCCCCGTCTACTATAGGGACCACATCGTTATCAACTACTGAGGGCTCTCCCACATCCCCGGTAGGAGGAACGCTCTCATCAGCCACATCGGCCTTAGTGGATTCCGCCATATTCGAGCCCTCTTCAGTTTCGACGGGTACTTCTCCGGTATCTCTTTCTGTCTTCTTCTTAAGAGTCTCTTTTAAGTGCCTCATGTACTTCTGCAACGTCTCCCTCTCACACACAAAAGCGTCCTGTTTCTCCGGGGACCGAGGCATCAATTGGATCTCAGGCAGGTCTTCCATTCTACAGTTCGCTGAGGAGGAATAAGGTCACTCCATCATCCTACCATTGTATCTTATTCACTACGTTTCGAGTCTATATTATAGAAGCACCGCAAGTCGCTGAGTCCCGAGCTCCTACTGGAGGGAAGTTTGTCAGAGTTGCAACTGCCAGGAGAGTCCATATTCGAATACCTCGTCGCATACGATATCACACCTTGAGCGTGTCGGCGGCGTAGGTGGAGGGAAATGGGTTAACGCGAGTTTATGAGCTTCTTCTACAGCAGATTCGAGGTACCATATCAACTTGCTATTTTTCTTCCCTTTTTTCTTCCGTTTCATCATAGCGTCAAACAGAAGCTCCACTGCTGGACGGCAGGATCTACCACGGCCGAGATCCTCATCGGGATCGCACCCTATGACACTCACTCCGCCTCTTCCTCCGTCGGCTCGAGCTTATCCTCAGCTTCATCGATTTCATCTGCAAACTCCAGCGATGGCTCGACCACACGAGGAGGGGGAGATGTGGCCTTGTCCTCCATGGGAGGTACTCTCGAGTGGATCTACAATTGCTCAACCATAGACAGAAATTTCAGAGCAAGTACAAACTCTGGTAGAGTCAGCCACGACTTCCCCTTCGGACTCGGAATCAATGTTGTCCCAACGGCTGTAGTCGATGGGTGCCATTATACAAGATAAAAATTTCAAAGCCACACTCTTGATGCGACTAGAGTAGTACACTCGAAATGATATGATGCATGAATGAGTTGAGAAGAGTAACCGCCGTAACTGCATAAGTGTCTGTCTTAACTTCAGTCCTTCCGTTGCTTGTCTTCCTTGCTAGCCTAGCATATGTTCCATGAGCACTGTGTTGAATATGAGTTACAAACCACTTCTTAACGATTCGTGTTGAATTGTCTAATCCCATCGAGACCGTATTTCAGATGGAAGAAGAGGCAGACATCATATTTATTGAAGATTCAGTCTCAGTTCGATTGACCACTCAACACCACGGAGAGGAATATCGTGCGGAAGCGTGTGAAGGCAGCCACTACTCGGGCAAAGCGAAGCAGCACCTCTATACGCAATAGAAACAAAGCCCCTGCTGCTACCAATACATCCAGAATTGCTGATGATAAAGGAAGAGAATTGACAGAGATAATTTCTCTACAGTAACGTTAGCAATAGTTCATCTACGCAGTGGTCTCCATGGCCGCTTTAATCTGAGCAATGACCTTCTTCTGCTCAGTAAGCTCAGCCCTGTAAGACTCCTCCTTAGCAGCGTTGGCATGACGAACCTGTGGGGGCACCTTCTCCTCATAGTCTGGTACCTGATCCACACACCCAGTAGCCACCAGGAGCCTACTAGTTATGAAGTACCTCTCTCTTAGAAACGTAAGTCTGCAGGTTGTGCTGGGTTATGCCCATCTTCTTCTCGAGCTTCTTCAACTCAGCACCGAGATCGACAAGCCCGGCTACTTCCATGTAAGTGGTCACATGTTCCGACACGACGTTCGCGATGGTTCTGAAGCGACCAACATATACTATGTTCAAGATACTCGTAAGCTCACCCTGTGGGAACCGCACCAGCATCATCAATGACATTGAGGGAAGAGAGCTTGGCCATAGTCGCTATATGATCAGCGATCTTGGGCAGAACACGTCGAGCCTCTGGATCCGCTGCCCGGATGTAGGCATGAGGCATCGCCTTGGGAGGCAAGCCAAGCGAAGCAGCCTGGGACCTGATATACCGAAACACTCAGGTGTACTCATACTACGACTTCCTCAGTACCTCAAGGAGGAAGTGGTGGACTGAAGTAGCACCATCTCCTCTTCTACAGCGAGATTCCTCCATGACATCACTTCTTGAGGGTAACTGCCACAAGAGGGAGTCCACTGTGGTCATAACAAGTAGATGATCCTCACTCAGCAATAACGATGGATTCGGCCTTCGTAATACCATCAGGAATCCTTTGATAGAGCTCCTCTGTCACGAAGGGCAGCAAAGGGTGGAGAAGCCTCAGGCCACGGTCCAAACATATGTACAATACCTAGTGGCAATACCTATTGAAACTAGCAGTAGATTCTACCTCTCTAGCAATCCGAAGTTCCTCAGAGTCACCACCCTCAAGAGCACGGAAACGCTTCTTGACGAGTTCAAGATAGTAATCACAGAAATCGTATAGCCAGAAGTTGTAGGTGGCAGTAGTGGCATCACTGAAGTTGAACTCCTTGATACCCTTGTTCGCAGCACCCGCAGCATCCGAGAGCCTGAGGGCATACACAGCAGTAACGCATGGCTAAGGTAGTACACTCTTCACACCGTTACCATTATGAACGCCAATTGTACGCGATTTGACATAGCCATTTCATATCAGTTCTTAGAATTCATATTATGTTCAATTATAATTCAATATTAATACATACTAACTCGACTATCCTATGTACGATCATGTTACCTTGAAAGGATCCACTTGTCCTCCCACTCAAGTTTAGCATCGAGAGGTAGACCTCTGGACTTGAAGCTCTCCCCGAAGTTAGGCAGAGCAAACTTCATTACATTCCACAATCTGCAGGAGAACGATACTGTACCGAGGCCTCTCTCGAGATGAATCACTTATTGCAGAAGTATCGATAGGATACTACTCTGTTGATGTCGAGGTTAATACTCCGAGCCTGGCCAGTGTAAGCCAGCAGGCCGAATCTACAGCGAGATGGTGGTCCTAGGAACCATAAAGTGATAAGCAGCAACAGCACCTCAGAGCATCAGAACCACACTCAGGAATTCCATCAGGGAAATCCTTCTCCTGGCCCTTCATAGCCTTCTTGATCTCCCTCTCAGGCAAGTTACCTGTGAGCACATGAGACCTCCCTCTACACAGCATTGCACCACCCTACCATGCTTCAGCTTCTCCTGTAGCTCAGGGAGGCCAATACCCGACATAACCTCAAGAGGGTCAATCACATTACCAAGGGACTTGGACATCTTACGCCCATGAGCGTCACGTACCTACGGCACGAACTATTCCGAGGCTGGAACCTAGGCTATAAGAACCCACCATAGAATGCAAACATACAGTGTGGAAGGGGAGCTCGTCAGTGAGGGCCAAGGACATCATCACCATACGTGCTACCCAGAAGAAGAGGATATCGTGTCCAGTCTCGAGGACAGAGCTGGGGAAGAATGCCTTCATGTCGTCAGTATTCATGTCAGGCCACCCAAGTGCAGACATAGGAAGAAGTCCACTAGAGAACCTACGGGAGAACCTAGTGCCAACATCATCAAAAACATAAAGACTTACCAGGTGTCCAAAACATCGGGATCCTGAGCCAGCTCGATATCACTCTCGGGGATGCCGAGCTTCTCCGAGGCCCGCTCCAATGCCTCAGCCTCATCCCGCCCGACGAACCTACCATACCACACCTCTTCCACATTCCTCTCAGTCATGAGACTACCACTGCTCCTCAGTGTAGCACGGCTTGACCACCTTATAGGCCGGAATGCGGTGGCCCCACCACAACTGACGAGACACACACCAGTCACGAATGTTTTCGAGCCAGTTGAACCAAGTGCTCTCGTAATAGCTAGGCTCGATCCTTAGCTTGCCCTCCTTCACAGCTTGGACCTGTTGCCAAGGCATCCAACCAACTAGCGGATCGCCCGTCCTCACCCCCCGAGCAGCCTCCTTACTGCAGTCCATCCACCACTGTGGCTTCAACACAGGTTCCACAATATCCTTGGACTTAGAACACAGAGGGACCTAGAGAGACAAGAGTGAGTTGTCGAGATACCATATACCCTACCTTCATGGCGTTGTCGGTCTTGCCAACGAAAAGGCCAAGCTCCTTCAGCCGTTCCTCGACAGTCCTACGAGCGACGAAACGATGTTGGCCAGCGAACTCACCGCAATTATCGTTCATAGTGCCTGAGTAACTCTTCGACCAGCAGTGTACTATACAATGAGCCTACCATCATCGTTCAGAATGTTAATCTCTGGCAAGTGATGTCGGCGACCAATAGCAAAATCGTTGGGATCATGGGCCGGTGTAATCTTCACACAACCAGTACCAAAGTCCATAGAGACGTAGTCATCAGCGATGACAACCATCTTCCTATTGGGGATGAAGGGGTGGACGAGCTCCTTGCCAATAAGGTAAGTAAAACGATCATCCTTAGGGTTAACAGCCACAGCAACATCACCCAGCATGGTCTCCAAACGAGTGGTGGCGATATGAACAAACCTACACTGAACATACCATCACCAGCTGCCACCATCGGAACCTACTTGGTAGGGTCCTCCTTGAGAGGATATTTGAACTCCACCAAAACACCAACCTCTACCTTAGCATCAGACAGGCCAGGGATCTGAGAGTAACCGCAATAGAGCAAACACTAAGGGGTTACGATTACCGAGAGGAGGGTCCTCTTATCGATGTCGATGTGATCGACCTCAAGATCACTAAGTGCAGTGCGCAAATAGGGACACCAATTGACCAGCCTGGTGTCACGATAGATCTTGCCTTCATCGTAAAACCGAACCTGTATTACAGTCACGTCTCATTACCCAATGGCAACGTAGCTTACGAAGGCCTCCTTGACAGCAGTGGACAGGTTATCATCCATGGTGAAAAACTGGCGGTCCCAGTCCAAGGAACCTGAGCTAACCCTATTAAACTCCAGTACTGGAATACTTTCCGCAGCTAGGCTCAAGAGTTTCTTCACTAGGTATACAAGGTTATACGCGAAGTATACAAAAACCAATAAGAATTGACCGTAGAATTCCTCAGACTTCTCATATTGTCACCAACACATGAAGTTGTTCATGTGCCATGCATGCAGGGTGCATATATTCCCACACTGTGAATCTGGGCAAGGTATCGGAATCATTACTCGCTAAACGCTCCATCTGTTTGCAGATGGTGTTGCCCTTCTCGTTTTTCCAAGCCCATACCTTCTCAAGGAACCTACACGAACAGCAATGAAGGCAGCAAGGCACAAACATAAGGACTCACTTCTCACGGCCAAGATCGTGCCTAGAGAGACCCTCATCACGCAAGAGCAGATTCTCGACAACAGACTGAGTGGCGATGCCGGCATGATCAGTACCTATCAAAAGCAAAATGATCCCACCAGGAATCGAACCTTCGCGGGTTTGACATACCGGGGATCCACAACGTCTGATGACCCATCATCCGATGCCACCTAGTCATACTGTCTTCGATACATGCCATCAAAGCATGACCAAGATGAAGGGTACCTAACCCAATCCCGCTATTCTCTAACTGTCTTGACCAGCTTACCAGTGACATTAGGAGGAGGTACGCACATGACGAACTTCTGGGAATCCACAGTGTTCATGGCCTTCTGAGCATCAGCGTGGAAATATCCTTGCTTACGCCACCAGTCATACCAAGCAGATTCTACAGCCACAGGGTCATAAGAATCAGCCTGAGTGACCATTATCCCACCATTTTGCCGCGACAATATACTACCATCGGCTCGGACATGTCCTTCTTCTCACCAACAGGGGTTTTATTCACATAAGGTTGCTTCTTCTCAGGGACAGGCTTCGTTTCCTTCTTACCTTTACTCTTGCCTGACACAATGCTGTACACTCTATTTCCCCATCCAGTGATAATGGAAGCGTGCCTACTACCTTGAAAGAGTGCCTGCTTTTCCTCTTTACTCATCTTGTTTTTCTTACCGGCCTTCTCCTGTTTCTTAAGCTTTTTCAATGCCGATTTACTAAGACCTACTCACCATCTAATCCCCCTTCCTCGGCAAGCACCCCAGTCCTCTACTACCTTCGGGGTTCTCAGCGGTGACATTCTCTGTATGATCCTGCACAGAGTGTTGTGCGAGCTCGTCATTCTCCGACATAGACATTAGTGGGCCTCGAAGAGGTGACTGTACTAGAAATGAGCAGAGCTGAGGAGAGGCACTTTACGTCTATCGAACCATCCAAGAAGGGTCCTAGTTACTACTCTTTGTGGGTTGAGGCGGATGTAAGCACGATCAGCAGCACGACTTAGACGCGACACCACGGTGAAGTCGAAAATTTCAAAAAATTTTCTACAAAGAGTAGCACTCTAAAACCAGCCTGTGAGCCCCATCCCATATATCCGGGATCTCCCAACGATGTACAATGTCTGCGGATAATAGGGACGGCGAGATACGAAACAACTCCACAGATATGTCTAAATCGATGACATGGGCGCGCGCGAATAACAGCGCACTTGTATGTCTGACCACGGCGGACACTCCTATTGAACTGAACGCAAGGGATCCAAGGGAGTACATAACATCTGATGAAGCACAAGCTTATGAGGTTTCATGTAACAAGAGAAGGATGGTATTGTAAAACATAGAGGACAGCGACGCTCATCGTGTAGCGTCAGGGAGAATATGGTCTCTATTATACTCATGTGCCACATGTGTTATGTTGCCAATAGACCAATAATCTACGGCCATCATCGATGGGACATGTCCGCTCCACTGGGCAGTGCAGTTATCCAGCACCTCTCTCATGAGGTCATCCTTGTTCACTTGGAGTGACGTCAATGGGAAGGGCACTGGTATAGAAAGAAAGTGGTTGACGAAAATCAACCTATTCTGAACCGAGGTCCGATCGGACGAATTCAGAGTGGACTCGCTGATGAACTCAAACTTGCTGCCTGAAAAGAATAGGGTGCACTCCGAATCGACTGCAGCAGCGATATTACTTCGAGCGCTGATGGTGCAGTTGAGCATTTCCCTAGTCTGCCACGCATAGTTATTTTCGGCTGTAAACTGATAGAAATTGTGGTCCCTGAGAAATGTACATAAGATACTGAGCAGTCACAATGCTAACAACCCACCAGGCCGGGCAACCATCAAAGCTATTGTCGTTGTTCGAATAGCAGTCATGCTGATTGATGACGACAACCTGTTACAAAACCTCTTGCTGAACAATGTGCACACACCGTACCCTCTTATTCGTGTCAATCATCTCCTGCAGAGTTGGCCATGGTGACCGCACAGCTTCTCCTAGGATCCTCATGGTCTCGTTCTGGGCGTCTGGATGCACATACATATACGGTATCAATGGTTCCATCGAATACTCCAAAGCAGTGAAGGTTTCACCATAGAACTCATTGACAAGCATTATGACCTAACACCAGCACGACTACCGCTCCTGTCCTCAGCTGTAGCCTAGTTACCTCTCGTGGGTTGGCAGCGAGCCACTCGGCCACCATCTCCATCTCGTCACGTAGTACAAGTGTGCCAAGAGCGCACATTGCATGACAAAGTCGTAGCGGCTCTTCCATAGTGCTATTATGAGGGTGAATGTCGAGTAAGAGGCCTCGAATACCATGTTCCAACTGATAGGATAGCGAGTGCTATAGACATCCGTCCCGGGATCCACTCACTTGTTGTTTAATATTGAAGTAGTGGTTGGGGAGGACAAACCTGTCTTGGAGTGATGAGAAGCTGTTATGCGTCGATGGCAGTGTTATCTGAACATTTCACTACAAGCAACACCACGACGGCTCCACTACTTGAACAACGGTCTTCTGGCAATTTACGACAAGGCCATTACAACCACCAGGCTCCCCTTCAGGAGGTTGCGGTATCGCAGAACTGCTTATGATCTCCCGACCTGAAAACCACACTGAGCATCCAATCCAATGAGAAAAATGCAATACCGACCTGTTTGGAACCTCAGAGCGCCAGCCAGAGCTGTGAAGGAGACGTTATCGAATACAAGCGGATCTCGTGCCCTATGAATGATATAATGAACATCACGTCCACACATTCCTATACCAGTGTGGGAAAGTATGATCAACTACATGTGTTGGCAACAATAAGGAAATTCTGAGGAAACTTCGAGAAATTCTTGTTGGTCTCTCTGTACCCTTCTACCCTAAGTCGTGTGTAAACTCCTACAATTAGCGAGCAAACTGCTGAGCTCAGCTTAGGAAGGCCAACATATATTCCAACAGTGTCCTATACTTACAATGCCCATATCCCTCCAAATAGCGCTGATGGGAATACAAGTGCCATTATACCCGTCATGATCCGTCCTTTAGTGTGCAGCTGCAAGGCACTAGCTATCGCCTGATGATCAACTCCACACCATCCTATATTCCTACACTACCCATTCTTACATCAGTGGAGCCCAGGTGCCGCTCAGCCACATCGACTTCCTTCAGCGTGAGTGCAGCTGTAGTGAACCATGGTCCCAGTGAAAGTTCAGAGAGCACCGTTGTTACGAGAGCGACGATAGCCATAATACTAGCGTAATATACACCTGCAGACCCGCCCTCTTCATCATCATCAACACAGCAACCAACTTCTCCCACCTTCGCTGTGATAGACCATAGTCGACATCGGACACCGCTCCACTTGGTTGTTGCAGTCAGCCAGTCTTCCCGAATGGATACCCCTATACCAGCAATAACGTTGCGAGCGGCTCATGCATCCTACGCTGTGGCCGCCAGTGTGATGCTGGTTGCAGCCGCAAATGCTACAGTCACAACTCGGGGGATCAAACCTTAGAAGAATGACCAACTGACTTATGCTGTGGCCCTAGCAGCAGACCTACTGGATTTCCACATTCTCCCATGCCAGCCCTTTCCCACTCCGACCCACGCTACGGAGGTTAACCCCGCCATTGCAGTGAGCAGCTGGGCAACAGCCAGCACACCACCAATCATCTCTAGCGATGTAGCCAAGTAGGAGTTGCATAATAACAAGATGTAAGCCGACTGGAAAACAACCAGAGCCTGTCCCTGCACCGACCTATAGGTTCTCACTAAGGTCCACATGAAGGTAGCTTGATGCATCGTGAGCTGATTGTGCGGTGGGTGCTGCCACCTCTGCCCCCCTGGGGGGATACCCCCGTACCTGCATCTCTCCTCATAATCACCGACTTGTACAGCCATCTCTAACTCACTTATCTTTGACCAGCTGTTTATGTGCATGATAGCAAAAGCGGAAACGGAACCACCTACCGCTGGAGACCTCCCACCAGTACTTCCTTCGACGATCAAATACATAACGGGCAACCACAAAGCATACCAGCATCACCAACTGAATCTACAATCAGGAAGCGGTAACACAAGGACTGGTAACTAGGTGTAGGAGCACTCACCAGTGAAAGAGTCAAATCAGTGGCCGACAGGGAATGTAAAGGGTCAATGACGTCTTGTTTGAGGGATACTATTGACGCCCGTATATACCTGATGAAAGCCATCAGTACAGCATTAGATACTACTAAGGGCCTACCCATCAAGAGAAGAGCACTCAAGCAACTCCACTGTTATCGCCAATACTTGCGCTAAGCCATCCAGAACACTCTGTACACAGTGGGATAGAAGAAAACACCACAAAGATTTGACTTCCTCACCGAGTCAGCCGCGGTAAGGCCGTATCTCCCTACGAACAACTCCGACCTCAGATTGTTGATGTTTTCATACATGATGGCAAGCAAGCTAAAAGCACCCTAGTATTCCGAGCATCAGTGTAGTTCGCCCTTACTCTCGGACTTGGCCTGTGGTAGTAGGTACCACCCAATCGGGTATCCTACATCCCTCACAATTATCAACCATTGTCCGTAGTGGCACCACCTGAACTTAGCAATGCTACAATCGACGATATCGAACAACAACATAACCTACAACATCCTCATACGGTAAGTTGAAGTCCTCTGCTGAACAGAAAGCCAGAGCTGCTCCCACGATAGAAGTCGCCGTCCCTGAACCCAACAGTGCATAATACGCCACGAGCTACCCAGCTGTTACCCGTCTCATCAACCGGTTTAGCAAGGACGTTATCGTATCTAACAATTGCGCCGATTGTGAGTGCAATAATGTCAGTAGGTGCTTACGTGTGGTCCAGAAGGTAGTAGCTGGTCATGCTGGTCACAACCGATAAGGACGAGAACACAATACCTCCCATAAGAAGGGCCTCCACAGTGGCGAAACGTTGAAACCTGCGGCGGCAACTAGATGGCATCATCACAGAGAGGCATGCACACCTTCTGCTGGCCATCACTGCTATGGCACTAGCCACACAAAGGAGGGCAATCTCCACTCCGACAAAGAGGAAACCTAAGGAATAACAATCACTCTTCAAGCGTTTCTTACCACCCAGCTTACCTAGTCTTATACGAACAATGGATACCATCAGCGATGTTCCAGTGTCGAGATACTGTTTAGAAGTTTCGCTAACCTGCAATCATTTGATCGCCATGAGAATTCAATGCCATATCTCATGAGTACCGTTGAATAGACATCCAGAAGCGTCTTAGATATCGTAGACATGTCGATGCCAGTGGAGGCCAACTTGTCCAGGACGTCTTGGCGGTTGAGAATCTCTTCTAGTAGTACCACCATAGCATCGAGAGAAGACGCTGAAAGGCGACTTCAGTGATCCGGTGATTGCATCGTCTCACTCATCTCGGTGACAAACTTATCCATAATCTCGAGGAACTCATTCCAACCTCGACTGACCCGAACTTGATACGTCCAGGAAAGAGCTGTTATCTGCGATGGTGGACACTACATACCTTCTTCTCATAGATACGTACACTACCACAATAACAGCAATCGTGAGGAAGTAGAGGATGAGGGATATAAGAGTCGACCACTTGGAGTGGAAGCCGCGACCGAACGATGCCAGCAGTGGTCTCTCTAGGAATAAGGCGCGGAAAAGAATCTGTTGGACAAGTCCACAGGGAAGTATAAGGTGAGCGAGCTCTTACGAATGCTGGTGCTGCAACTGCCATGATTGCAGAGAAGACCATGATCTGATTACACACATGAATCGAGAAGACGACGATGGCGATTGGTGTTACCGGAAGAGAGCTGCTAACAGTCTCATCCCTGATGTCCTCGAGCACTCGGCACCATTGCTTCGCTTCATCACAGGATATGATCGGCTCGAACAGCTTAGGGATTCCGATAACTGTGGGACACGGAATCGAGAACCATTATGATCTTACACTTACTCATCAACACTAGTACGACAACGAAAGCCCCTACAGCCAACACTCCTCCTGCTATCTTCAAGGCTCTATTGACTCGCCACTGTTGATCAGTGAGGCACTACGATCAAAATCTTAAGTCTTGTCTCAACCACAAGAGCGAGTCACCTTAATTTCACAGCGGAGATGTAGATCGCGGTTTGTCGAAGTCACCACCGCAGTCCCTGGCTCCGTGAAATGGAAGGTGTACGTCCCTGAGGATGGATATAGCGAGTACAGGGCGCATACATACACGTACCTGCAAGGCGGGGGTCACCACTGTAGATAGGAGCCACGGCTGCATCCATAGGGCTGCCGTCCTTCTCTGCTGATATGACCTATTTGGGAAGCCCCTAAGTAAACGGAGAGTCATGAGCCATTACATTGACGAGTAGTCTATCCTTGTCATCAGCCTCAAGAGGATGCTCCTTATGAAAGATAGCACCAGGGGGAGCTGGTGGATACCATCCAAAACTGACGTAATCACCCTTGTCAACGGTAAGGTACGATGGACTCCAATACACTTGGCCCTAAATCGGAGAGCTCCTCCATCAGAAGCGTAAAGATAGTGAATTACCTTAGTCCTCCAGTGCCACCACTCCTTACGACAGAGTGATACATAGTGATGCTGATCCTTATGGTGTCTCTGCACAGTATTCGTTGGCTCAATAGATCCTTCTTCTTTTTCGTCAACATTCACGGTGACTGCGAGTGGAGACACTCCCTCGTTTTCCTGCGTGTTTGAGCCGTCGTTGGACCCGATTGCTGCCATCAAAGCACGGATGCTACAGTGATACTGATAGCCTTTACTCAAGTGTAACAAACACAACACTTCCACAATGAGAAAACTTATTGAAATCAAGGCATTTACATTGTACCTACTCCGCCAAAGTGCCAACATAGGGATATTTAGATTCGAACATCTGCGCCCAGTCATCGAGCTGCTCAAGCTCGTGCTTGTTAAGCTCCTGAAAGATCCACCATCATCAACCTTTCCAAGGACTACACACCTCTCCGTTGTCGTCCGCCTCATCCAGTATACCTTTAGCTAGCAACCGAGACGCGTCGCGACCAGCAAATACATGATATCTGCTTTCAAGTGGGTAGCAGCCTAAATGACGGGTTCGTCTCACCCTCCACCAGGACCGTAAAAGTCAGGCCTCGTCCACACATTGTACACCTTGCCTTTCACACCAATGAGGATAGGCGTATCATTCGATCCATCATAGGCGCTCAGTTCAGCTGCCTGTAATAAGACAATCCCTTAGAGCAGTGTGAAGGCCATCTGACCGTCCAACCAGCCTTAGTGGGTATGGTCATCCGAGCGACTCGCCGCTCCCACTCCTCCTGCTTACGCCGTGCCCTATAGTTCTGATAGGTGTCGTACCTGGCGTGAGTGGGACTTCGAAGTACCTCATAATACGGAAGGTTACACCAGATAAGCTGCGAGGACTCCGCCTACAATTGCCACCGCATTGGTCCACTTACTCGTTGTATCTTTCGACATTCAAAGAAGGACGAAGGTCTTGAGACAAACATGCTCTACTACCTAATTTGACCCCCTAAGATCGTTAACAACTCTACAAGTAGCCCTTGGAAGGAACGTGACGCAAACTGGTGACCATTCATCGCAATGGGAAATATATGATCCTGCTCATACGCGTAGGGTTGTTTTCAGATGAACTTCTTGAGGATGAAATAACACAGTGCGAGGGTCATCAGTATTATGAAGTTGACAACGGCTTGCTCTGAAAACAGGTATACTCTCCTCTACTCACGAGAGATGCCGAGGCATTTCGAATCTCCGCCACTAACCGTCTCGATAGTGACCATACGGAATCATATAAGATCCTTTCGGCTAGCTGTAGACTATGCAGCGTGGTCTAAGATATCCACTGCCAACTACACAGTGTAGCTGATAATTTTTTAAAGGCCGTCCAGTCACTGGACTCCAGTGTTCGAGTTCTAGTACTTCCAAATTAATAGAAGCCACGCATTGTAACAAGAGCAGATTATGGAAAGCATGCCACGTGAGACGGACGGCCAACGCTAGTTAATCTTCTCATAATGAGCCCCAGCCCAAACTCGACCTACCTAACAATGGATGCTGCCCCCCAAGCAGCGTGTTTTTCTTCCTGGCCTCCTTTTCGAGATCAGCCTTGGCTTGTGATGCCGAGGTCGGCAGAGTTTCCATGGGGACTGCCTCAGCGGCATTCACTTTGTTGGCCCTTCGACGTAAGAACCCCATATTGATGAATTAGAGACGATGGAAATATTCTGACAGCAACTGTACGTCTCGAGCAAGAGGAATTCCAGACTACCCGAGGGAGCAAGATGCTCACCTACTTGAAATCTTAGCGGAGCGATGCTACTCTCATGAAGAGCGCATTTTTACACGGATGGCGGCGGCGGCACTGTAAGTCTACGTAGTATTATTAATTTGCATCCCTGCATCTGTATTCCCCTCCCCCTGTGGCCCTTATTGACGATTGACTAAAAGATCGTGACTGAAAGTATGAGAAGAGCATCATATCATGGCGATGGAGGCCCGGACCCCTACATCCCCCAAGATCGCCAACAGCCACAGCATGGTAAACTATCGGCTCCCTCATCACCACTCCCCCTCTCAGCTTATGGTTGCCCACCTCCTTGTGCCGGCGGCCTTGGGGAGCCTAAACCCTTCTTGCCTGATACAAGGTCTATGGACTCAGCCACCTTGGAGCAGGTAGTCGTACCATACGACGACCGTTTCACTCATGCTCGACCC